CAACTCTATGAAGAAAAGTCGTACAATGTGCTTCTTGAAGGAAATCCTCGGAGTTCTACTGATCAGTTGGCGCTCAACCATATCGAGTGTGAGGTAGTAACTACCGAAAATAATGAGTGAGTTTGAGCAAAAAAGAACTTAAATTGGTCAGAGTTAGACATTAACATCAGTGGATACCGGCTCAGTGGTCTAGATGCTAAGGATTCGTGCGGAAGACCGAAGTTCCTGGGTTCGAATCCTGCCAATAGAAGTCATTGGATGCGTGTTGGGGATGTTAGATCCCCAAAATTCGCTTGATATATGCCTTATTTTGGATTTCACGTTTGCCAGCATGGGCTGATCAGTTGACCTTGAGATTTCATTTCCCACCAGGAAAATCCTTGGTTGTGATTGGCTGCTGTGTATTTTAGTGTACGATTTTCGTAACTATCCCAATGATGTTTCTATGATGTATAAATAAACGAGAGTCGTGTGCTTGATTGTATTGCGCTCGCTGGGTGCTTGTAGAATATACTTTCTACGCTTACAAAGCCTTCTGTCTTCAGCTGGGGACTCAAGGTAGCCTATCTGGACGCTGGTTCATTGTCTCGTTCGCGTTCATCAACTAAGGTGAACTCGTCGTAATAGCTTCAAGCGTACCTACCTAGTGACGAACATATCAGTGCGCAGCTTTCTCCATTAGGAAACTTATAACCACGTTCTTACATATTTTAACCGATATATAACACAACATGAATCAACCAAATCAAACTTGATGAAGAAGCTTTGGGGGGGTGTAGAATTCTTTATATACACCTGGTCAGTATCACTGGTAAACAAGGTGATTGCGATGCCAATGTAAAGATACGGACTGACGAAACAGGTGCAATATTTCTACAATTGAAGAACATCTAGAATTCAAAACAACTGTCAACCAAAACCGAAGTCAGATACTTGGAGAACCATGAAAGCCATTATCCAAAAGATACATGTGTTTATTGATAGTTGTCTACGCAAGATACTGAAGATTCGTTGACCAGATACCATTAGTGGTAACATACTGTGGGATAGAACAAACCAGATTCCAGCTAATGTAGGAAATTAGGAATAATCGCTGGAAGTGGATAGTACACAAATTGCGGAAATCATTCAACTGCATCACAAGGAAAGCACTAACTTGGAATCCTCAAAGAAAAAGGAAAATTGGAAGACCAAAGAGCACAATACGTCAAGAATTGGAAACAGACATGAAACGGTCCAAGACAGACAAGGTTGGAAAATGCTGGCTGGCGGCCTAAGCTCCACAAGGGGTAACAGGTGTAAGTAGTGAGTTAGTTAACAAAACATGAGATTTAACCGAACAACGCTAATATTTCTTAAATTATTTACAGTAATAATACGTTATAGTGACTAGAAATTGACATCATGAACCAGCCAATGTTAGAATATCATTGAAAACCTGGAAGTACTGGACGGCTCTTTCATTCCAGTATGAAACTCCTCAACGAAAGCACACACATGGATCGAACCCAGGACTGTCTGTTTCACATGCAAACGCTCAAATTCTAAACCTCTGGGCTAGTAATTAACGGTGTTAATGTATAACTTCAATCAAACCACGATATTGAGTGACTATCGTTCAAGGGGGTAACTGCTTCGCTTCACATTCGACAGGGATGAACTCAACTGATCACAGCTTCTCACTAGGACTTCGGGTATTCCCTCAAGAAGCAATTTATCAGCGAGCATATGTCATTTATCTGCAACGGGTTGTGGAAACTGTTGAGTTCCATCGAAACCATGAACCGATCAATGTTAACTTATCAAGTTAACATATCCATTTAACTATAAACAATCATGTCGAACAGAAATTAAACTTCTCACTAACAAAAGTTGACTTTAACAGTCCCTGATTATTACAATATACTACTGTACAGTATCAGAATACACAACACTTAATGAAAACTACCTAGTGGTCAAATTTTAAAAAAAAAAACCTGAGGAAACTGATTTAATTTAAAAAGATTAAATTGGTTTTCTATGAACGAATTGTCTAACCAAGATATTTAGAAAACATCAGACTGAGTAAAAATGTCTAAACATGAATCGTTAACTATAATACTTCCTACGTAAACGATAGTCTTATTAGTGTTTCAGGAGAAATTGAGTGTTATAAACAGCGAACAGCTACTGGCTAATGGAATCAGTTCGATTTCTCGCAGAGTTTGAACGATCAGAGCTTTAACATATAGTCTGCAATGCAAGATATCTAAGTTGGCATTTTGTAAACTTAGCCGGTTAATACTGATTAGGAAATGAATGAAAGTAATGAGAAGAGCTCAGTTAACTCAGATGCATGTCATTGGAGGAGATTTATGAAAAACATTGAGATCAGAAACCCTGACCCAAGTTAGTCATCTACTTAAAACTAGGGATGTATTAAACATACGTTTCGTTCTAGGAAGGGAACTTCTCAAGAGTGAGCATTAACGATCCCATTGTAGATTGAACCCACAACCTTCAGCATGGGTGGGGGGGGAGGGAAGTGAACATTTAACCTCTAAACTAATGAGCCAGAATTCACTGGTTTATATATCCAACTTTAATCAGTACATGATATTGCTCGATCGTCTTTCATTGTCTTTGTCCGGTAACTGCTTCACACACAACATGTCACGAACTGTACAGATTCTCATGAGAATTTCAGAATAATAATAATAATAATAACTTCTGATAGTCAATCACCAGTCAGAACATGATAATTAATCAGTAAAATGGCCTGTGAAAATTATTAGCTGTTATTGATATTATATACTACCAACCAACTAAAGTTCATGACTTCTTGGGTTTTCTTCAATGAATGTTTATAATATTAATCAGACTACGATGTGAATCCAGACACCATCAGCAACAACGTACTACTGTGGGAGAGAACAAACCAGATTCATTCAGTGGAGGAGGAAATCAGGAAGAAGTGGTGGAAGTGGTGGATAGGACACACACTACGAAAAGCACCTAACTGCATCACGAGACAAGAAGCCCTCATATGGAACCCTCAAGGCAAAAGGAAAAGAGGAAGGCCAAGGCCGAGAAATAGAGAAAGATATGAGAGGAATGAACAAACATTGGACAGAGCTGGAGAAGGAAGACCAGAACAGAGTTGGTTGGAGAATGCTGCTGGTGGGCGGCCTGTGCTCCATTGGGGGTAACAGACGTAAGTAAGTAAGTAAGTAAGTAAGTAAGTAAGTAGGATGTGAATAATACTAAGCTAAGTAGAGTTTAATAAACATGAGAGAAAAGAAAAAAATACTAAATACAAGTAAAAAAATAATTTATCTTATATTGTCTTGTCTTGATAATAATAATAATATTAATAATAATAATAATAATAAATATATATACCTCTTCAATAGGTACACCTCTGAAAATACACTCTTCAATGTAAGGATGTGCTTTGTCAGTTTCATAGCCATTAATAAAATCTTATGAGAGAGAGAGAGAGAAAGAGAGAGGGGGAAGAAAAAACGATTACAACAAATAACGTTCACTATTATAGAAAATGCCATGTGTAATTCGTCAATACAATAAATCCTATAACTCTGTCTCCGGAGCTCTTATGGAAGTGACTGTCGATGTCAAGCCCAAATAAACAAGGAGGGTTGGTTGGGCATTTATTTGCTAATGCAACACGTTAACCAGAAAAAAATTAATAATAATTCAAACCATTTTTAACTCTGGCAATTGGAAAGTCTTCATTTCGAAGAATTATAACGTCACATAATCAAAGCCAAGATTTTTTTTTTCGGGTGTCATGAAGCCGACACTCATTTTAACAACTACATTAACCGTTATTTTATAGGTAAATAGAGCGTCCAAACCATTCAAGTTGCTGCACAAATGAAAAGATACACAACCTGGTTGGCAATTGAAACAAATGGCACACATTGAACGTGTAGGTTGGACAAAAAAATAACTAGCTTCAGGAGAGATGCTATAGTTATGTTTTAAAAAAACTACTGGATGAAAGTATACACCAGTATCACCGAATGTGCGTGTACTAACTAACTGACTGAAACTTGTTGCATCAGGCGTTGACCTTGGAAACTTCCAAGCGAGGTCCTAAATGAATGAATGTCAATTTGATGATTCAGAAGTAAACTTATCCTCGATTTGATCTTTGGCCAGATTGTAGGTACAAACATTGGATGAGAAGTTTCGTGTCGGAAGCAAACAACAATCTAGCCTTCCCTACTTCCCAATAAGATGTCTATTTATATACACAGTCAACTCTCGTGATGTAAGAGCTATATTAAAATTGTACAACTTTGACAAAATTTGCTCAACACAAGAACTTAAGCAAATCATTGTCAACAGTAAAAATGTACCGCGACGAATTGAAATTTAATCAAACAATGTGGAAATAATTATCACTGAAATAACTTATCAAAACTATTTCAATGGGATTTCTCACCAAATAATGCCTTGTCGAGCTAATGTTTTGCGGTGTACAAAGCTAGGGACGACCAAACCAAAACACGGCACAAATCCATCAAGTCACTTACAGCTGGATTGAGTCATGTTAGTTGTAGGTGTAGACTACTTGGTTGGGGTTGGTTACAGACCTCGAATCATATATGGCTCAGAATCGTTTGCAATGACGCAGGTGCATTCATTTTTTGTGTTCTCTCAAACCTTTACTTTCTGAATTTCTCATGACCATTTTTTATCTTTTTTTAATCGATTCCTCGAATGATATATATTCAATCAGTAATCTCATTGATTATAGTTAATACTTTTCACTACCTCTACTACTATGGGATTTAATGTGACAGTTGCATATCTGTGCTAATATGATGGTATAGCAACTGGAACTGATGTACGTACGTACATCAGTTAGTAAGTGTAGACTAATTGGTTGGGGTCCGCGAGATGGTTAACAATCGATGGTTAGAGACCATGAATGACATGGCTCAAAACCGTTTGTAATAGCCTAGGTGCATTTACTCTTTGTGTTCTATGAAATTCTAACCTTCCGAATTCCCCATCACCTCTATCTTTCTCTTTCTAAATTTACCTCACTGAATTATACTTCTTGAATAAGATCTTCGAACTTAAATCTCTCTTTGATTATTGCTAATACTTTTCACTACCTCTATTACTATGAGATTTGATGTGACAATTGCATCTCTCTGTGTGCTAATAATGTGGTATGGCAACTTGAACTGTTGTACTTACGTGCAAAGTTCTACGTTGCTGTTGTTGTTGATGATGATGATGTACGTACGTAGGAAGTTCTACGTTGTAACTAACTTCGTTTTTCAATTAAAAAAAGGTCAACAAATAAAAACATATATAGAACATACCTTGTTGAGCTCTTAACATTGATAGGAAATCATCCGTGCTCACATATTTTTGTATTTCTTCAGCAAGTGAAGTATCTATGAAAATGAAAAATTATTTCAACAGAAATAGAGAAATAACAATCAACATGAGAATTCTATTCATGAAACTATTTATACATAACTACTATAAGAAAATAAAATTGAGTATAGACAATAGTGTTAGATGAAAATGATTTGCAGTTTTTTTCATGCCTTACAGTTATCAATCAATCAATAGTGATGTAGAACTTCGTACGTAATTACATCAGTTCATCTTGCCATACCACATTATTAGCACAGAGATATAATTGTCAATTCAAATCCAATAGTAGAAGAGGTAGAGTAAAGGTATTAGAAGTAATCGAAGACCCCAACCAGGTAGTCGACAATTACCGACATGGCTAAGTCCACTTGTCAATGACTTCATGGATTTCTGCCATGTTTTGGTTCGGACACCCCTAACTTTCTTCCAATCTACTCCTGCACCACAAAACATAGCTCGTCTAGATGGTCGGTGGTTGAGCATTCGTAACACATGTCTAAACCACTTTAACTGACGAACGTTCACTACTTCATCAATTGATCTGCCATTCTTACCTAGCACCCGTTTCCTAATAACAGCGTTGCTCACTCGCATGACCCAGGATATACGAACAATGCTTCGAAGACACCTATGATCGAAAACCAGTAACCTACGAATATCTTCTACTCTCACTGGCCATGTTTCACAGCCACAAAGTAACAAGGAGCGAAACACTGCACAGTACACTCGTCCTTTAGTCAGCAAACGGATATCTCGCCTACGCCATAAGTGACACAGGTTGGCAAAAGCCAATCGAGCTTTCTGTATCCGTGCTGAGATTTCGTCAGTCACCAGGCCATCGGCACTGATGAGACTACCAAGATAAGTGAAGCGGTCTACACGTTCGACTACTTCACTCCCTATCACTAGTTCAGGTGCCGATGAAACCCAATCTTGAAGCAAAATTTTGCATTTCGGGAGGGAAAACCGCATCCCGAACATGCTTGCTTTGTTGCTTAGGGTAGTCAGAAGACTCTGCATTTTGTCAGCGTCTTCACCAAGTAGGACGCTGACAAAGAAAATCATACATTTGAATTACATAATACTACTCTACATTTTAAAAAAATTATCCACAATCCAATCAAGATAAGAAAGAATACAGTAGTCACTGTGATAGAAGTAACTACAAATCCTGATAATATTTGATTTGGGAATAAACTGATATGCTTGAAACTATTAAAAGTTCACCTTATAATCGGTAAACGAAATCGAAGACGAATGATCTAGTGACACAATAGGCTATTCTAATCCAAGCATTCCAAGGCCACACTGAGTAGATGAAGAAGTCTTAACAAGACAGCCCATGTGCGAAAGCATAAAATTCAAAATTAAGACCTTTATCAAGTGAATTCTGAGGATCTAACGTCACCAAACAGACATATACCACAGGTTCTATATTGCTTATAACTAACCGACTGAGGTTTACCTTCACAAAACAGAATAGGGCAATCATTGAACACCAAAATAATGAAATATATATATTAGACATGTCATATATAATTTCAAGAGATTAGATTAGATTAAATTTCTAAACAAGCAATCACCGATAACTACAGAAAAGTACCAAAGTAATTTTTATGATGAAATGACCGATGATGTTTTCTTAACCTGAGGTTCTGCCATTTTACAGGATCATGATTATACGAGTATGAATTTAGTAAAGTTAGAAATGAAAAACCGTTAGAGTCTAACTTCGTAGGAGGTTCTTCTTACGTACTACTACTACTATGTGAGGTTGTTGGCTGGTGGGACACCCAGTCAATCAACTACAACATACAACTTTGTACGTATGGACATCAGTTCCAGTTACCATACAACATTAACACAGAGATGCAATCGTTACTTCAAAAGTTTAGTATAGCTGGTGGGTGCGTGTGGATGAAGAGTTCTAAACTAGGAAAAAAAACAGTTATCCTGTGCTTCTTAATTTTTTTTAATAACTCTCCAAGTCTATGAATAAAAATGGACTTAGAAAAGATGATAAGAGAAATCAACAAATCAACTATTCAAAAAACTAATAGAATTTTAAAGAAAGAACTTACGTATTTCAAGTTGTGATTGTTTCGTTCGAATTTCGGGAATTCGACTAACTGCACAACGTAGATCGGTTAATTCTTTGGCTGATTTGGATTTCTTAAAATGTATGTGTACAAAAAACCGGAGAAAAAAATTCTATAAGTTGCAATTGAGTAAAAGGGAAAAACATGACATAATACACATACGGCAGCGTCACCTCACTGGAAAATAGTGCACATATAAATCGAAACAGATTGATTTCACACATTTCAGCGTCTCATATGCAACCCTACTAACATCATAAGAGCAGCCTATCGCAAGAGAACTTCATTTTTTCCTTTATACACTTGGGTGATAAGATAGAAGTGGATAGGACACACATTGAGGAAAGCACCGAACCGCGTCACAAGACAAGCCCTCACTTGGAATCCTCTAGGTCAAAATAAGGGAGGAAGGCCGAGGAACACATTACGTCAAGAAACGGAAACATACATGAGAAGAATGAACGAAAATTGGACAGTACTAGAAAGGGAAGTTCAAGACAGAGCAGGATGGAGAATACTGGTCGGCGGCCTGGAGATAACAAGCGTCAGTAAGTAAGTAAGGGTGATAAGATGGAGCTCCTTAAACTAATCTTAAATAAATACTCTAGGCTATCATCTTTAAAATTAGCTCCAGCTACACGCCATCGTCTAAAGTTAGTGACAGTTTTTAAAAACCCAATACACTTAATGAGACTTTCGCAAGAACAGTGAGTAGAAGACGTGAAGCAGTGACTACAGATCAGTTAACTTGCTATTTACTGTTCCGAAAAATATCGCTTGATCTGAAACGGAATCATATTACAATTAAATCTCATCGCTTTGTCGCCTTAATGAGTCCCATCGATTAGAAGTGTTAGTAGCAGCTGCTTCCCGACCGTAGCTAGTAAGTACCTTGACATGGTGGTAGTCAGGTTCATCTGTCCCTTGGGCTCTGCAGTCACGCTCTCAGGTCGTCTCTAAGACCAACGCTAATCTACTTTCCTTTTCAGGTTCCTCAAAAAGAACCCAGGAAGTGACATCTGCCCTCATATCCGTAACAGTACACGAAACCGAATCAGGCACAATCAAATCCAAATATATGTGTACTATATATTTACATCTCTTCATCAAAAATACAATGACATAAATTTTGCAAAATTATTTAAATAATAAATTAACAATAATCATTAAAATTATATCACTGTTAGCTTACTGTAACAAGTGTAGAAATTTCTTTTGTAATTTTTGATAAAGTTAAACCAACTTTAGAAAAATTTTGATCTCTAATTTCTGCATAAACTAAATCTGAAGAATTTAATATAAATTTATTTGAAGTTTCATTCTCTGTTTGTAAACCTGGTCGACAAATACCTGTAAAAAAAACATTGAATATTTTTAATTGATTTCTCAATGTACAACTTGATATGTGCAGTTCACGTTATCATCTCATCATCACATTAGAACAGAGAGATGTTACTTTTTTTTATAGGCCAAATCCTATAACAGTAGATATAATAACAGTACTAGAATTGTGGTGCGCGCTACTTATAAGTAGTATATGACGTGAGTGTCAACGTAATGTCTGGCAGCAGAAGAGAGGGGGGAAGATCAAGAAAGGAAGAGTTAGAAGAACACAATGGAATTTGTATGAAACGCATGAATAGTGAGTGAAATGTCAGACAATGGATTGATGATGGATTGAAGATTTGCAAATTAACAACGGTTTACGATATGGTTTTCCTATTTTACTGAGTAACTCTGTAATTTTTGTTAAATACAATTCAGTTGCCCTCACCTGTGTTCTCCTTTACTACAGAAGTAATGCGAAATATTAGAGGTCAAACACAAGATTTAAGAAAATATAAATGTGATGAGGGATTCAGAAGCGTAGTATTTAGAGGAAGATAGAAAAAAAAATGGTTACACTTGCAACGTTGCAAACGATTTTGAGCCATGTCACTTAAAGTCTCAAAAACATCGGGGGTTACGATTGTTACACGCGGACTCCCCTACTAAGTAGTAGTCTACACCTGCTAACATCATGGCTCAAGTCTAATTATCAAATAACTTCATCAGACAACATCAGACGGTTGAGATAACTCGATGACTGGATATACAAAACCACATGATGAAGATTCACTACTTCATCATTTGATTTGTCATTCTTACCCAGTACTCTTTTCTTAAACGCAATATTGACTACTCGGTGATCCTAGAATCTTTTAAAATTAACCAAATAGGTTTTAAAATAAAGTAATCAGGATATTGAAAAGTGATAAAAACCGGAAAAACTCCAATATCAACAGATCTTTATAAACTCTGTTCATAATAAAATCATCTTCATAGCGCAGATACAATTGACAATGATAACAGAAATATATTTATTTTAAGTTATCAATGAAAAGCGTTCAAAAATTTCAGAGACGTCGAATTTAATTATTATATTATATGATACTACTTAAAATCGAACAGTGTTGTTAGCACTTTTTAATAAAGAGGATTAATTTGCTATGTGCTCGTTAAGTTCGTCACCACGTACGTTTGAAGCTATTACGATTACACATTAGTCGATAAACGCGAACGAAACAATGAACCAGCGTCCAGGTAGGCTACGTTGATCGAAAAACTGCAAGAGAGAAGTCTTGATAAGCGTAGAAAGTATATTCTACAAACACCCAACAAGCGCGATACAATCTCCCGAAAACGGCGAACATATAGTAGTAAAGTCAGTCAGTCAGATGCAACGTAGAACTTTGTACATAAGTACATCAGTTAATGTTGCCATACCACATCAGCACACAGAGATGTAATTGTCAATTCAAATCCAATACTAGTAGAAGAGGTAGTAAAGGTATTAGAAGTAATCGGAGAGGTTAGGATTAGAAGATATTATTCAAGAAGTATGATTCAATGGGAAAAGTTTAGAAAGTCAAAACTAGAGGAGTTGAAGAATCCAGAAGATTAGGATTTGAGAGAACACAAAGAATAAATGCACCGGCGCCATTGCAAACGATTTTGAGCCATGTTATTCAGGGTATCCAACCATCGATTATTATCATCTCACGGACCCGCCCAACCACGTAGTCTACAATTACCGACATGGCTAAGTCCACTTGTCAATGACTTCATGGATTTCTGCCATGTTTTGGTTTCGCCGCCCCTAGCTTTATTCCAACCTATTCCTACACCACAAAACAAAGCTCTTCGAGGCAGTCGGTGGTTAGCCAAACGTAACATATGTCCAAACCGCCTCAACTGATGAAGTTTCAGCACTTCATCTATTGATCTGCCATTCTTACCTAGCACCCGATTCCTAATAACAGCGTTGCTCACTCGAGTGTCCCAGGATATACAAGCAATTCTTCGAAGACACCTATGATCGAAAACCAATAACCTACGAACATCTTCTACTCTTAAGGGCCATGTTTCACAGCCATATAGGAGAACGGAACGAACTGCTGCGCAGTACACCCGTCCTTTGGTTAGCGAACGGATATCACGTCTACGCCTCGTCTGAACTGCAGTCAGTGGGGGCATAGGCAGATATGACGAATAGGCAACGGCGAGTGTCCCTATCCTTCCGAGTCCTTACTGTCCCGTTTAGTCGGACAGCGCACAAGCGACTATCTACTGGGATCCAGTCAAGGAGGGATTGTTCAGCTCTACAACTAAATGCTATACCTACAACAGCAAGACCCCTGGAAGCAGCATCAGGACTACCGGATACACGAAGAGTAAATCGACCTGCTTTTTTATCTTAACACGGTGAGCTCAAGTGAATGTTGCTACTCGGATCCTGTATACTCATTTCCGAGACACAGCATACATCGATGGAACGAGATTCTAAAGTCCTAGCTAAGGAAGCCTGTTGCCCTATTTGACACAATGTCCGCACATAAAATGCTCCAACATGTAGTCTAGAACGGGGTTTAGGAGACCAGGAACGACGTTTCGCGAACTCGCATCGTTTGCATTAGCGGTGCAGTCAGAAAAGGGACTGTGGGTAGAGTTCGTTGTGGAGAGAAGAGAGGTGTGTGTTGGTGTAGGAAGGATTTGACTTCGACCAATTTGGTCTCGTGTGCTGTTACGGGTATGAGGGCGGTTGTCACTTCCCGGCTGCCCACACTGTGGAAGGTTGTTTCTTGAGGGACCTTAAAAGGAAGATAGATTAGTGTTGGTCTTGGAGACCTGGGTGCGTGACCGCAGAGCCCAAGGGACAACTGCTTGAGGCCGGTCACGCACAGACTTTTTTTATGAAAGGTTTTTTGAGTGTTAGCTCCGCTCGTTTTAAAGCCCTTATTAGGCACCCTTACAGCCGGAGACGGAAATCCGTGAGGTAGGGTGAGGTGTGACATTTTTAGGGTCGACCTTTTCTAACCCTTCATTCCTTGTGAGAAGGCAGCATCGCTGCAGATGCTGGTTATCTGAGGGAAACACCTTACTGCTGTCACACCCCTCTGTATTCAGCAGTACGACTTCGCCCTCAGACCTTGGGTAGCTGCTTTTAGTCTCATCGTTCTCCAATCGACCTGCCTGGCATGGTAGGACCTGCAGAAACATGTGTTCCAGCCAGTATAGCTCCGTTGGGTCATCACGATAGGCAAGCCCGACCACCATGTCAAGGTAACAGCTACGGTAGGGACAGTACAATTATAGAAAGTAATATCTAATATCGGTTGTCATTGAATTAAACGAAACTTTTTAAACTCACCGAATCGGATACTCCATTTCTCATCAACTAGTCCAGCGTAGGTTAATTGATTTAACAGGGGAGTCAGAGGATCGACAGCTCGATCAATAAGAATTAATAATTCAGTTTGACTTTCAATTTCATCCAATGCATTGATTGGTGCTTGGTGTTCATTTGTAACTTTGGCTTCATCAGACATATGTCGTAGCATTTTGGCCACTCCCTAAGACAAAAAAAAAAAACTAAAGGCATTAAGATTTCAATGACGACTACATGCGTCATGTAGACGATTCATCATTTGGATGTTGGAAAAAGTCATGCAATTATCAATATTGCCATGATTTTTACAAATCGTTCATACTGTTTAATAATTATTCTAAGGTGTAGTGAACAATATCTAAAAAAAACATTTTTCTAATCAAAGCGTTTGATGGACGCGACATATAAAATACACCTTATTTAGAACTGTATTCCTTTACTCTTTCCGTACGTACTATACTCAATTTACTACGGACTAAACGTCAATGTCAATACAGAAATGGGGACAGTTTAGTACCTAAAGTTTGTTAAATCTCGTTTAAAAATATTCAGAAGACTACCGTATCAATCCTTCATCATTGAATAGGTTGACCTGTGGGATTTTTAAAGATAGTGGTCCAGTTTTAGCAAAGAAATGGACTGAAATCTTAATTAGAATTTTGGAACTGGACGTAATCCCATCTGACTGGTCTTAATCCCTTATTGTCCCAGTTTATAAAAAAAGGACAAAAGTCCTCTTGTGACAATCACAGGGGAATAAGTTTAACTAATATAGTTTCTAAATTGTTAGCCTCGATTATACTTAGACGTCTAACTAGAGCTCGTGAAGAGCAGACTCGAGAAAACCAGTCTGGTTTTCGACCTGGACGTGGTTGTTTAGACCACATCTTCACACTACGACAGGTCCTGGAACACAGACACACATCTAGACGTCCGACAATAGTCGTGTTCCTGGACCTTAAGGCGGCATTCGACTCAGTGGATCGTGAGGTTCTGTGGCAGTGTCTGTCATTGAAAGGTGTACCAAACAAGTACATTAACCTTATAAAAGCACTCTACTCGAACACCACTGGTCGAGTGAGAGCATATGGCGAACTGTCATCTGAATTCTCTACATCAAGTGGTGTCCGTCAGGGCTGTCCACTCTCTCCATTCTTGTTTAACTTTGTCATAGACATCCTCTTAGAGTTAACATTAAGCTCGTCAGAGGACAAAAGTCCTCTTGTGTCAATTACAGAGCAATCAGTTTAACTAATATAGTGTCTAAAATATTAGCTTCAATAAAACTTCGACGCCTAACACTAAAGATCATGAAGAACAGACTCGAGATAATCAGGCTACTTTCATACCTGGACGTGGCTGTATACACTAGATATCGACACTACGTCAGATTCTACAACAAAACACATATATTGGCGTCCGATAAGTGATTATTATCGTCAGGGCTGTCCACTTTGAACTTTTTTACAGCAGATTTACTTGTCAACTCTGAATATGCCGATAACATTGTTCTACTTGTTGAAAACGCTGACAAAATGCAGAGTCTTCTGACTGCCCTAAGCAACAATGCAAGCATGTTCGGGATACGATTCTACCCCTCCAAAAGCATAATATTGCTTCAAGATTGGTTCGCATCTGTACCTGAACTAATGATAGGGAGTAAAGTAGTTGAGCGTGTCAACCGTTTTACATATCTTGCAAGTCTCATCAGTGCTGATGGCCTGGTGTCTGACGAAATCTCAGCACGGATACAGAAGGTTCGAATGGATTTTGTCAAAATGTGTCACTTATGGCGTAGGCGAAATATCAGTTTGCTAATCAAAGGACGGGTGTACCATGCAGCAGTTCGCTCCGTCCTACTCTATGGGCGTGAAACATGGTCAGTAAGAATAGAAAATATTCTCAGGTTATTTGGTTTTCTATCATAGGTGTCTTAGAAGCATTGATCGCAAATCCTGGCACAACTAACTGAGTAAGCAATGCTGTTATTCAGAAACCGTTACTAGGTAGGGATGGCAGATCAATTGATGAAGTAGTGAATGTTCGTCAGTTAAGGTGGTTTAGACATGTGCTACGTATGGCTAACCACCGAGTGCCTCGACGAGCTATGTTTTGTGGTGTAGGTGTAGGTTGGAAGAAAGATTGGGGCGGCCAAACCAAAACACGGCACAAATCTATCAAGTCACTGACAACTGGATCGAGTCATGTTAGTAGGTGTAGACTACGTTGACGGGGTCCGTGAGATGATAGTAACCGATGGTTAGAGACCTTGAATGACATGGCTCAAAATCGTTTGCAAAGGCGCCGGTGAATCCAAAATCTTTGTGTTCGCTGAAATTGTAACCTTCTCCATTCCTCACCACCTCTATCTTTCTCTTTCTAAATTTATTTTAGTGATGTACGTACGTACGTCGTAGCTGACTGACTGATATAAGATCTCAATAACAACCAAAATCTTGCCGTTAGAACATGATGATCAGTTCCTATCACTAGATAAAAACAATACAAATGATTTTGGAAAAACCAGTGTTAGACACCACTCGATGATCATTTCCCCAACACATACATTAGAAGATGTAACAATGCATTACAGTTTTTTATGAAATAACATGAATAGTATAGTCACCTACTATAGCCTTTTCACCTTTCGCATAAATTTTTGGAAACAGACCAAAAATTGACTGGAATCTCATTAAACCTTGTACAAATTGATAGACACCATCTTGACGTTCAGAAATGGAATAGTTCTAGATAAAAAAAAATTGGATATCATAAAAAAAAAAAATACAAAAACAAACAGCAAAACATTGTGAATCTTCCATGGATAGGACATCACATTCTACAGGTACAATTGTCAAAGGAAATTCAGTGATCATGACAAATTTATTGAGTATTTTTTTTTCTTTCAAGAAACTTTTACAAGCAAGAGAAATTCTTGGAATAGCAATAATACTATATTGCTTTGTTGTTGCATTTTGATTTGATTGTGAATCTCTATTTTTTTTTTCAAATGATCACAGAATATTACTACAAAACTTACTTCACCATAAATGATTGTACCGAGTCAACAACACTAACTTTTGGACTGATAATGAATATCACAGATTTACATGCCGAAGGAGAATAGGAATCTTTTGCAGATTGCAGAAGGAATGAATTGATAACGCCATGTTTCTAAATGTTTGAAATATTATAAACATCACAGATAATACTTTCAAATCAGAATTGTTTACAACAGAACTCATATGAGCTAACAAATCTTTCTCCCAATATATAACCTAAAAGGTAATTGAATATCAGATTTACGTATATTACCTTACCTTAGGTGAAGGTTGAGAATCAATGTAGCTGAAAAATTCGTTCTGATAGCTTTCACGCAACAGGTCAATATTTAAAGGACCATCTGTTACATGAATCATAACAGTTGCAAAGTGTTATTATTTATTGGCTTGTTCTACAGAAGTAATATTTCTGGAAAGTAAAGAAGATTGATTTAAAGTGGCTTTTGCCTAAAATATTAGAAAAAATACGAGAACTCAGGACATATGGGAATGAAAGTAAGTGAGGATAGAACGAGCAACTAACAATTTTTACCAGATACATCATATTCATGCAGTTAGAGCAACAGGTGTCACGGGCCAAGATAATAAAATCTCGTTCAATCAATGTACGCCGTGTCCAGAACACATAAAGGATGCTAGCATGACTTAGGCATATCTCGATATTCACACAATCCACTTAACAATATGGTGTAGGTACATCCAGCTGAGGAATCCTACAAAGAATGGAACGAACACCCTGGATTCCAATGCTAGCCATATTCTATCTGTTCTATTTAAACTTTCCATGAGGGCTATATCAAGACAATCTGAATAAGATGCCCATTTATCAACCAAAAAGGATCAAATTTCAGTCAAAATATTAACAAAGGGATAATCCTAACCATTTTAAATTAAATTATAGAGGTTCTGAAACGCTTAAGGACTTTCTGGATTTAGCACTCAAACAAAACTTTTTACTCTTGAGTAAACAGCGACATTCTCACTGCATGATATACATACTTTACAAAGTTTGTCTATTTATTAAATGAATACAATATGCCATAAAAATATATAGAGTATTCTTCAAAAGTAGGGAATGTTTGCACTCATTTATAATGGAGAACCTATGAAGAAATGTGCAGTGCTCATGAACTCAAGTAGTTGTCTGACGACAAACACTTCAGTGCAAATACTGAACTCCATACCTGAAAACTTTGACTCAACCTTGGTGTCATCTGGACATATGAAACTATAATGAGTTGCAGAGTCGAGTAGTACATCTGTTTTCTATTTGTATACATGGCTTCCACAAAAGGTATTTTTGAAAACATTTGGTCGATGATGCAGTTTCGTAAAGTTTACAGCCAGAACGGTTAGCAATTCAGGTGTCCCATCTATGATTGTACTTAGTTGTACTACAACAAGCTGTACTTCTATTCTGCAAAGTAAACAGCAGTCTATCTGAAAGATTTTGCAAACGATGACTAAAACGAAGATAAATTTCTACTATAAACGTTGTAGGTCAGAAGAGACTAGGATGTCTTGGTCATTTAAAACTAATTGCTATGACAAAAATACTCTTGGAGGTAACTTTGATCAAGTAAAGTTGATGGTCAGTATGGTTTGGTGGCACTTCTCACATATTTTTCGAGCCTTATTGTCCTCAATGAAGTAGAGATACAGGTTGCCTCCTTTACTTCGAAGATGAAAATATTGAGTGATTTCAAATCAAAGATATGTCCTACAATCTGTTTACCACCATGTGAGGAATGCTTTAAAAACCCAAGCCTTTCACCCATGAGTTTAGGTAAATACAAAGCGACGTCATAATAACCTATGACACTGTTCATCCTACACAGCACTTGCCTGTGCTGTTTTAACACAAATAAGAGGTAGTAGCCAAACTGTTCACACTATACGCAATTAAATCTTCAGATCAAATACCGGCTTATAATGAGCCCACAATGAAACACGAAGATATTGTATCATTCGCTAGCCAAGAAATAAAAAAACTCTGGCTGTGGGATAACAGTTAGTTCTAACGTTAACGTCTGGTAAGTTTGCGTTTAGTCGGTAGGTATCTTATGTGCTGGAGGAGTGTGAGGACAACTGTAATTGGAAAGAACAACAAAGTAATTCGGTCGACAGCTAAAGCAGTACATTGAATGCACTTACATTTAAGAAAGAAAGCAATTGGCACCAAACAGATAGAAAACACGAATAAGATCAGGACACATTCATAACTGTAACGCAAAGTTGGTAGAGAGATATTTCAAATGAGTCTACAATTCAAGGTACAATATCCAATATCTTTTTCAGTAGATACTATAAACGAATTTATTTCTTTGCGCTAGATTCTTGTTCTTTCGGTACGGTTCAAGGTGTTTGGTAGTATCCAATAAATGAGGGTGTAGCCACTCAACTGTCTAATTCTAGTCAGTTAGCAAATGTTTGTGAGTTTGTCTCGTAAATTGAATGAGTACGTTTATTCAAGGCAGTAGGGTTTCTAGATACCAGCAGCTATCACGTTACCAGGCCAGAGATCAGTTAGTTGCAATGTAGAGAACAATAAGGACAAAATTCTAATGAATAAGGTATCAGAATGCAGTAAGTGAATGGATAATTTAATTTCTTAATTGGTAGTGGAGATTGTGGGAGAGGACAGAAATGTAAGGGAGTGGAAAGAAAGATGAGATGGACTAAGATAACGATTTGAGGACTGAAAGGTCACAAGACATGCATCAAGCACAGCTGGTTCGCAAGGGAGACGATAATTATTACGCTATTCTTCTGGCTCTCCCAATGACGTTTCTATGATGTATAAATAAACGCGATTCGTGTGCTTCAGATCGTTGTATTACCTGGGTGCTTGTAGAATACACTTTATACTCCATAGCAAGACATTTACTTCAGTTAGTTGGGGCAACGGATCACAGTAGCCTATCGAGCCACTGGTTCATTGTCTCGTTCTCGTTTATCGACAAAGATGAACTCATAATAGTTTTAAACATCTCAAGTGGCGTGCGTAACGTTTTATCTCCTGTCTTGCTGGTCTGGCGCCGGGCGATTTAGGTTTAGCTGTTGGTATTTTGGTGGGACTTATGGCTTCGCAAATGTTTACATTTTCGGTGCCTTAGTTGTTCTGCACCGTGGACAGATATACCAAGATGACGAACAGGGATGACTCGGTATGAACTTGTAGTCATCTCTCAGTAGTGACAGTGGACCTATGGTCTACAGAAGTCGCATTCAAAAGAAGAGTCACTGGTTTTGACTGGCATAGAGCAGGCGACATTGTAATCCTTCAGCGATTTTCGAACGGTAGACTGTGTTGACCAAGCCTTCGAGAGCCTTTTTCTTCCATCCTAACTTGGTTAAGCATTTTCGATCAATTTACACATTTATATGTACCATTCTTTCTTATTATTGTCTGGTTTGTAGGGGCTCATGTGACTTGTCCCATTTATCTTTTGACCTTGTCAACCATTCGTCGCTTTTACTCATGTGTGTGTATGCCCATTTTGTTGTCTGACTACATATTCTTTGTCACGATTAGTTGGCTCATTAGCCTTCTCCAACGCGCCTCCCCTATTTATTCGCTTCCTTCGCCCATTCGTTCGCATTGTAATCCTAGAAGTTGGCTCAACAGCCTTCTCCGATTCACGTCGCTTCATTCGTTTTATTCACTGCTTCTCCGCTTCACTTTGTGGTGTGTCCCAAATAAACGTATTCAACACTACGAGTTCACCTTCTGATTTATAAACCGTTAGACGCTAGTTAGTAACGATTGTTTGGACGATCTAATCACCGAGCTTAAGAACACGCAGTAAATCGACACACTACAAACCAAACAACAATGTTTTCGAGTTCCTAGTGTTTGTCTCAATAGAACAGTTTATACGGATTAGTATATGTGCTTCACTTCACAACATTAGAAATATAGGCTCCTCAAACACTCGACTTCTGTGTTGGGATATTCATCCAATATCCTAGGAGGATTATTGGTCAATTTTACGGTCGTCCTAGATATCAATGCCACTTGAAATAGTGTTTTCTATTGGTCGCCCTAACTGCCGATGTTACATACTTCAACTCTGTTTCTTATTCGACCTAAATGTATAAATAGGCATTATCTGTAACGTTTTATGACCATGACCCGGCCCCGGATCCCTAGTCTGGGATCCTGATTCTCTCCTGAATTTGGATGTCGTACATTCTGGATGCTTGTAGAATACAGGTTCTACTTCATATCAAGTTTTCTCCTTTTATGGGGGTTAAGACACTCGGATTAGAGTAGCACATCGTGTATCCGGACCCTTGCTCTCGTTTTCCAACTAAGGTAAACCCTTACTAGTTCCAGCATATCAAAATGATATGTTTGCGTTCATTCGTAACACTGTTGTTCTTTCTAAGATAAATATGTGAAGATAAACGAGTGGAAGGTTTCTTGCTTTCTACCTAATCGACTGCAACAGAGCAAAAAAATATTTGCTGAATGATAGAAAAAAAGCTCTTGTCCAATTTCCTGATAATTTTGAGCAGTGAACATAAAAATTTCCCTTGTTTTCCCAGTTTTGATCTTTTAGCTACATTCAAAACATTTTTGTTGCAAGTGTTTGCCCATAACCCATTATAAACTTTTAAGAAGCTAAGACCATAACAATGAATGCACGTTAAAAACCTTACTACTAGCTTCAAGATTCCTCCTTCAGATTTTTGTTGCGGCTAAACACATGTCAACCTCTACTTCTTGGAAGAAAGGAGGTCGCACTCTTTGAAGATACTAGCGGAATCATTGTAGTAAATGCCCTAATTGTATTTCATTTCAATATACTGAACAGTAGTTGGACAACTAGTTGAAAATGAAATATTCCATATTTCCTCAGCAATCAGCGAAACCGCTCTACAATACGCATCGCATATAGCTTTGTGCTGGTTATTCAAACTATAAATTCATGAAAACATTGAATGTATATATTTATATTTATAGATGGCCACTAAACATATTAATGTATAATATAATACACCAACACAAGCGACAGATGGATTAACCAAGAGATTTTGCTGTTCAAGATCTCGAAATACAGATCGAAACACCTCTTCTACAACTAACAGATACTTATTATCACTTACGTTTTCAAGTACCTGTGAACAAGAAATAGCTGACAAAATATAACAAGGTGTCAGGATGATGGTAAACTAAGGCGCTGAGCATGCCAATTCTGAACACAAACATCAGATTCGGATCGACTAATCACCAAAGCTCTCGATGTACACGAGTTTCCTATCCGGTTCCTTTCAAAACAATTTGTCCTAATTCATGAATTATCGGAGTGAAGATTTTGTTAGCTATTAATGACCAGAATCGATTAGACCGAGTCGCCCACTAATTCTCATCCACCTTTCAACAGCGAGGATAGATAGTGCTGGGATATTAGTTACGAAAGAGCATGTTTTGTGTGGCCGATATAACATATTCTACAAGACCAAGTTCACATGTCTGTGGTGCCCCAAAGCGGCAGTCTGTCCTTGACAGATCATCATATCAGGCATCTTCTGGATAATACAATTCGTAGCTAAGTGGAATGATAGGTCTTCACCATATAAATTAAAAGATGGAGAATAAGAGACTTCCCCATTAAATTAAACAAAATACTTTTACGCCAAAAAAGAAATAACTATGAAATATTGTGAAAAAGGTTTTAGAAAACTTTTTTAAAAAGTACATGAAATAAAATGAAAGTAAAAGACAAACAAACATACAACACAGTAAACAATCACATACTGAATAATTATTGATCGACTGTGGACTTGTAAATGAAATGGTGCTATCAACTTTGACAGAATAAAAAGTAAAAATCATCACACAAGCAAAGTAAGCATACACATGATAGATAGAAAACTTAAATGCATGCTATGAAATCAAATATAAGGTTACAGATAAACATGATGCTGTCAATGATGATGAGTGTTATATGGACAAGTTCAATGTGAATGCTATCGAATGGGAAAACTGGACAATTTGAAGAGAAAAACAATCACTCCTTAACTAATGATGTAAACAAAAGAAAGAAGAAGAGTAGTTCAGTGCACCGTTGACTCCCATCTGTTGTCGATTTAACGTTGCCAAAACACGGTCGTTTTTCGCCAGTATCTTCCGTATTTCATAAAGACCACGAGTTGAGTTTCGTTCTTGTGAATCGAACAAGCGTTGCTCTATGAAACCACTCTCTGATTTGTGCTCCGATTTTCTTTTATTCTCCTAATTTTTATAATACCAAGTATTCATTACTGCATACAAGAAGAATATTAGATACTACTCACAAAAAAAACAAACTTACGATTTGTTAAAAACTGATTTTAATGTCCTCATAAAATATGGAAACGGAACTTCGTTTTCTGGATGGATGTACAACAAAACGTTCATCGACCACCAGCGTTATGAGAAATGACACTTGCAAAATGAATTCTTAATTGTTGTCGTCACCAGTGGTGGTAGCGGCAAACAATCTTTATCCCTGGAGATCGATCATTATTAAATGACCATTGCCATCATGTTTACATTCTTCCAGTCATGATTGTTGCTTTTCTTCACATGGAAAAGCTTGAAGATTTACCTTGATAAGCATCGAATTGTTTGGCAATAGAATTTAAAATAGTGTGTTATTTTTATTGGTGTCGATCTCCTACTCAATCATTCCAATATGGTTTGAATAGATTTATATCGTGATATTATTACTAAGAGATAATTGATTATTCACGTTTACGTGAATGATTATGACGTGATGAATGTTTTCGGAATGGTCCACAACCGAAACTTTTACATGATAGACAAGAGAATTTCGAATGTTTCACTGGTTTTGTTGAAATAAGTTGCTGTCAAAAAGAAAAACATTCAGAAAAACGACAATTAAGAATGTTGTAAATGAAATTAGAAAAAACGTCAACAAACTGTTACGCCTGCACGTAAACACGTCAGCTTGATATACTTGAACTATTACGAGTTTACCTAGTCGGAAAAACGAGAGCGAGAATCGAGGATCCGGTGACACGACATGATACTCAAATCCGATTGTCCCAACCCCCATATTTAGTAAAAGAAAAGACTTGATATGAAGTAGAACCCGTATTCCACAAGCATCCAAAAAGTACGAGGTCCGAGTCCAGAAGAGAATCAGGATCCCGGACTAGGGATCCGAGACCGAGCCCTGGTCCTCGTCGTGGTCATAAACGTTTCAGATAATGCGTATTTATACTTTTTGGTCGAATAGGAACCGCATCGAATTCTGTGACATTGAAAATTAGGACGACCAATGAGGAACAACATTGGAGCACGTGACATTGTTATCTAGGATGACCATAAAATTGACCAGTAGGAATCAACCAATAGGAATAGACCAATAATTCTCTTAGGATATTGGATGAATATCCTAACACAAACCAATCAATTCAAATTCAATTAGTCAATTAATTGCTGTCCAAATATGTGAAGTCAATTCATTTTACGATTCGATTAAAATAGGTTCTACTATTGAGAAAACTACTAATAATTATTTCTTTTTTTTTTAATGATGAACATCTTTCAGTGCTTAAATCGAAGTCAAAAGTAAGACACACATCATAATTCCTAAATAGAAATACAATGCTAAAGGATTATCGAGTTGAGCTCCAGTGAATGTCATAATAATTTTAACATTAAAGAAGATGAAGTGTTGTATGGTCAATGAATAAGGTGTATGAAAAGCAAAAGTTTAAAAATGTAAAGAATGATAGAAAAAGAATATAATTTCATGTCGCTACCATCAATATTGGAGACACATAATTTTAGGCTTTAGCAGTAGTCTTAGCGTTAGAACGCATGTGTTTGTTCTAGGACCTGACGTAGTGTGAATATTTGGTCCATAAGTCCATGTCCAGGTTGAAAACCAGCCCGGTTTTTTCTAGTCTACTCTTTTTGAGCTCTCGTCAAGCGTCGGAGTATTATTGAGGACAATATTTTCAATACTATATTAGTTAGAGTTATCCCTTTGTGATTGTCAAAAGAGGACTTTTGTCCTTCTTATAAATTGGGACGATTACCGATTGAGGCCAGTCAGATGAGATTAAACCCGGTTCCCAGATTCTACCTAGGATCTCAGTCAATCTAACTGTTCAAAAACGACCAACATCCTTAGGAATCTTAGGGGTCAGCCTATCAGGCCATGAAGCTCGCCCTCTCTTCAGATTTCTTATTGCTTTCTCAACTCCATTAAGAGTCGGACGACTTTCGCTGATTCGCCATTCAGGTTGACTGGAGATTGTGGGTAACCGAAGTGTAACTGAAGGCCGACTGAAGTGATCCCTAAAGTGTTCAGTTCATTGATCCAATCGCCTGGATTGAGAATGAATAATAAGACCATTCTTTTCGGAGACGGTTTCGTAAACAGATGTATTTCTAATACTGGCTTCCTTTATGAGGCGGAAAAAATGTCTACCGTTGCCAATTGCCATTGCCTTTTCCATCGCTTTTGCTTTCGCCATCCACGACTGTTCAAAATCATTGGCGTAGGCTTTTTATAAGCCCACACTTAAACTGACTCCGCTCTTCATCATGTTCATAGTCGGGTGGGATGAGTTTACGAGCGTCTATCAGTTTGGTGGATGTTACTGAGATCCACGGCTTCTTCCTAGACTTATGGTTTACCTTACTAACAGATATCACTGCTGTTTCCACAACTTTTTGCTTATCATTCCAAGCAACATCCGGATGGGAATCACTTACATGGTCGCCTAACTGTCTTTCTAGTTGCTCCTGAAATATATTCATTGCTCAGCTATTATTAGGTAGAACCCTAAAAGGTTTCCTTGAGGTGTCTTTCTTACGTCCGGTACAGCCTAAATAAATATGCGCTCGCACTAGAGCATGATCTGAATCTAAACATGTGCCCCAGAATGAGCGACTGTCCTCTATCAAACCTCCCCATCGGTGGCTGATGGCGATGTGATCTAATTGTGTCCAGCATTGAGACGAATTCGGGGGTCGCCAGGTCAAGAGATGTTTTTCCTTATGCTTAAAGTTACTGTTTGCTAGAAATAGTTGGTTATCTGAGCATAGTTGCAGCAGACGGTTACCATTATTTGTTCTTTGAGCTGCGACACCATAAGATCCACCCATGTCTCTTTCCTTTTCACTCAATCTACCTACTTCAGCACTGAAGTCACCAGTCATTATAACTATATCAGAGCTCCTAACGTTTTGGAGCAGGTCCGAAAGCTTTCTGCAAAACTCATATTTTATGTAGTCTGAACCGCAGTCAGTGGGAGCGTAGACGGCAATAGCGAGTGTCCCTATTTTTACAAGTCCTTACTGTCTGGTTAAGTCTGACAACGCACAAGAGAATATCTACTGGGATGCAGTCTAGGAGAGCTAGTTCTTCTCTAAGACTCAATGCTACACATACACCAGCGAGGCCACAGAAAGCAGCATCAGAGCTACTTGATACACGAAGAGTAAATCAAGTTGGTTCTATATTCTGACAAGGCGAAGTCAAATTAATGATTTACTAGGATCCTGTATGTGCGTTTCGTAGATGTAGCATACATCAATGGCGCGAGATTCTAAGGCACTAGCTAAGAAAGCCTGCTGTCCTATTTGATACAATGTCCGGAGACTAAATGCTCCGACATGTAATTAAGAACGGGGTTTCAGGAGACCAGGAATAACGTTTCGGGAACCCGAATCGTTTTCAACAAGGATGCGCGGTGATAAAGGAATGTGAGAAGAGTTAGTCGTGAAGATAACAGAGACATTAGGGGGTTTAGGAAGGATTTGATTTTGACCAATTTGGTAACGCGCTGTTACGGGTATGAGAGCGGATGTCACTTCCCGGCTTCCCAAACAGTGGAAGGGTGTTTCTTGAGGAACCTGAAGAGGAAGGTAGATTACCGTTGGTCTTAGAGACGTGGAAGCGTGACCGCAGAGTCTAAAGGAAAACCACTTCAGGCCGGTCACGTACGGCCTTTTTATGAAGCGTTTGTGAAGTTTTAGCTCCGCTATTATTTAAAAGCCCTTATCGCCGAAGAAGGAGATCCGAGAAGTAAGGTAAGGTGTGACATGTTTAGGGTGGGCCTTTCATAACCCCTTCCTTCCTTGTGAAAAGGCAGCATCGCTGCAGATGCTGATTGTCCGAAGGAAACACTGTTGTCACGCCCCAATACAGTCAGCAGTACGACTTCACTCTCAGAACTTGAGTAGCTGTTTTTAGTCTCGTCATTTGAGAGTCGATCTGCATGGCATGTTAAAACCTACGGGAAAATATGTTGCAGCCAATACAGCTCGATTGGGTTATCTCGACAGACAAGAATGACCACTACGTAAGGAAGCGTCTATGGACGGGCAAAACGAAAATAAAAAAAGAGATGCTGCGACATGAATGTAACGGCTAAACTACAGAAACCAGAATAAGTCTCCTTGCAAAGATAATAAAAAAATATTTTCATAGAAAACCACTGATAAGAGGTTTAATGGCATGAACGAAAAATCTAAATATTAAAATAATGAATTGAAAATTCCAAACAATAGATCAAAACAAGCAACAATATTATTGAACAATTATAAATGAAGAACGAAAATATCCGCTTACTTCAGACGCAGTAAGTTCAACTACTTCATTCAAAGATTCATTAATTCCTTGAGGTTCACCGTCATCTGAGTGTTTCTCATCACTGATACACTTTACTTCATTTGTCTGAGGTTCTTCATTCAAAAACGATGTGACTTCACCACACAGTTGAGCATTCGTTGATTGTTTTTCCAATGATACTATACACTGATAACTAGATTCCAAATGTGATTCCATAAATGACCGATACGAGTTTATCAAATTCTCAAAATATATCCATTTTTCCGACAATTCATCAAACAGTGTAATCAATGACACGTCATCGCTTTCGAAAATCCCATCCACATCAGTAGCTGTCAATAATGGTGATTTTGGAATAACCACTGAATCTTTGAGGTTTATTGACTTTAAGTAAGAAGTAATCATTGGAACAAATCTATTTATCAGCGTTACAATGCAATAAAACGATAGTTGATATTCATACAACACTTTTGTTTGATTGTTTGTGTCAAAGATGTTCTCACTTATCAAGTTGCCCGACTGTAATCTCTCAATAGAAATCAATGAAGAATGTTGATTTCGACAGTAGTATGGTTGGAATGATCTCAATAGTGTTTTATATATTTCTGAGAATTTCTCTTTCAGCAGTGTAGGATCTAAAGAACAATTGACTAGGAATTCCGAAAGCTTATTAGTCATCATACAGTATTTATGATGATCATTTGTCAAATCGACTTTGGACATTGCGTTTCCTGTTAATCCAAATTCGATTAAGTGTACAAGTAATCGATCAATTATCGTGTACATTTCGTTCAACCGATCAGCAGACAAATCAATCGGATAATCATGAGCACAATTTTCAACAGATCTACTACTAGCTTTAGATTCATTGTTATCTACTCTTACGGGATCCAGGGAAATCTCATTCATTTCATGTAAAGTTCCTTCCACCATTCCAGGTTCACTGTCCTCTGAGTGTTTCTCATCACTGATACACTTTACTTCATTTGTTTGAGGTTCTTCATTCAAAAACGATGTGACTTCACCACACAGTCGAGCATTCGTTGATCGTTTTTCCAATGATACTATACACTGATAACTAGATTCCAAATGTGATTCCATGAAAGCCCGATACGATTTTAACAAATTCTCAAAATGTATCCATTTTTCCGACAATTCATCAAACAGTGTAGACAATGACAAGTCATTGGTTTCCGAAATCCTATCCTCATTAGCAGTTGTCGATAATGGTGCTTTAGGAATAACCATGGAATCTTCGAGGTTTATTGACTTCAGATTAGAAGTAATCATTGTAACACATCTATTTATTCGTGTAACAATACAGTGAAACGCTGATTGGCATTGATACAAAATGTCTACTTGACTATGACTTTCATAGAAATCCTCTGTCTCCAAGTAGAGTGGTTGCAAATTTTCAATAGAAATCAATGAAGAACGTTTATCCTGACAGTGGTACCAGTCAAATGATCGCAAAAGTATTTTATACATTTGTGAGAATTTCTCTCTCAACAATGCAGCATCTAAAGAACAACTGATAAGGAATTCTGAAAGGATTTTGGTCATCTTACTAAATTTATGCTGATCGTTTGCCAAATTCGATTCGGACATTGAATTTCCAGTTAATCCAAATTCGATTAGATGTACAAGCAATCGATTAATTATGGTGTACATTCGCATCAACACATCATCTGATGCACCTGTTGGATAATCGTGAGAAAAATCTTCAATAGAACTCCCACTACTTCTAGAGCCATGATCAGTAACCCTTAGAACATCAACTGAATTTCCTCTCGTTTCACTGCAACATATATTCACTATCCTAGTACTATGATCATCAGAATGTTGGACGGAACCGTCGTAGGCTGTATCCTGCAAATTACGCGTACAAATATCGACAGGTCCGTCACCCGAATCTTCTAAATCGAAGTGAACCACAGATCTTCTGCCAATAGCCTTCCTTCCCCGGTCACTTCCATTCTGTACATTCCGATGCTCATCAGTAGCATTTTCAACAGATCTTTTCACACTATCTATAATTTCTTGGTTATTGAATTTCACGGGATCCACTGAAATCACATCATTTACACTGCACGTTTCCACAATTCCGACATTTTTGTATAAAGAATGTTCATGTACACCAACGGATTCTGAATTTGGAACATCAAACTGAAAATTTGTAACAGAATTTTCACGATTGCCAGATAAACTATTATCTACTCCAACGTAATCAACCCTTGGGTTTTTCATTTCATTTATAGCATCTTCAACCATTTGAGGTTCAACGTCATCTGAGTGTTTCTCATCACTGATACACTTTACTTCATTTGTCTGAGGTTCTTCATTCAAAAACGATGTGACTTCACCACACAGTCGAGCATTCGTTGATCGTTTTTCCAATGATACTATACACTGATAACTAGATTCCAAATGTGATTCCATAAATGACCGATACGAGTTTATCAAATTCTCAAAATATATCCATTTTTCCGACAATTCATCAAACAGTGTAGACAATGAAAAGTCATCGGTTTCGAAAATCCCATCCACATCAGTAGCTGTCAATAATGGTGATTTTGGAATAACCACTGAATCTTTGAGGTTTATTGACTTTAAGTAAGAAGTAATCATTGGAACAAATCTATTTATCAGCGTTACAATGCAATAAAACGATAGTTGATATTCATACAACACTTTTGTTTGATTGTTTGTGTCAAAGATGTTCTCACTTATCAAGTTGCCCGACTGTAATCTCTCAATAGAAATCAATGAAGAATGTTGATTTCGACAGTAGTATGGTTGGAATGATCTCAATAGTGTTTTATATATTTCTGAGAATTTCTCTTTCAGCAGTGTAGGATCTAAAGAACAATTGACTAGGAATTCCGAAAGCTTATTAGTCATCATACAGTATTTATGATGATCATTTGTCAAATCGACTTTGGACATTGCGTTTCCTGTTAATCCAAATTCGATTAAGTGTACAAGTAATCGATCAATTATCGTGTACATTTCGTTCAACCGATCAGCAGACAAATCAATCGGATAATCATGAGCACAATTTTCAACAGATCTACTACTAGCTTTAGATTCATTGTTATCTACTCTTACGGGATCCAGGGAAATCTCATTCATTTCATGTAAAGTTCCTTCCACCATTCCAGGTTCACTGTCCTCTGAGTGTTTCTCATCACTGATACACTTTACTTCATTTGTTTGAGGTTCTTCATTCAAAAACGATGTGACTTCACCACACAGTCGAGCATTCGTTGATCGTTTTTCCAATGATACTATACACTGATAACTAGATTCCAAATGTGATTCCATGAAAGCCCGATACGATTTTAACAAATTCTCAAAATGTATCCATTTTTCCGACAATTCATCAAACAGTGTAGACAATGACAAGTCATTGGTTTCCGAAATCCTATCCTCATTAGCAGTTGTCGATAATGGTGCTTTAGGAATAACCATGGAATCTTCGAGGTTTATTGACTTCAGATTAGAAGTAATCATTGTAACACATCTATTTATTCGTGTAACAATACAGTGAAACGCTGATTGGCATTGATACAAAATGTCTACTTGACTATGACTTTCATAGAAATCCTCTGTCTCCAAGTAGAGTGGTTGCAAATTTTCAATAGAAATCAATGAAGAACGTTTATCCTGACAGTGGTACCAGTCAAATGATCGCAAAAGTATTTTATACATTTGTGAGAATTTCTCTCTCAACAATGCAGCATCTAAAGAACAACTGATAAGGAATTCTGAAAGGATTTTGGTCATCTTACTAAATTTATGCTGATCGTTTGCCAAATTCGATTCGGACATTGAATTTCCAGTTAATCCAAATTCGATTAGATGTACAAGCAATCGATTAATTATGGTGTACATTCGCATCAACACATCATCTGATGCACCTGTTGGATAATCGTGAGAAAAATCTTCAACAGAACTCCCACTACTTCTAAGGCCAAGATCAGTAAACCTTATAACATCTACGGAACTTCCTCTGGTTCCACTGCAACATTTATTCACCATCATAGTACTATGACCATCAGAATGATGTACGGAACCCTCGAAGGCTCTATCCTGCAAATCACGCGTACAAATATCAACAACTCCGTCACCCGAATCTTCTAAATCGAAGTGAACCACAGATCTTCTGCCACTAGCCTTCCTTCCCCGGTCACTTCCATTCTGTACATTCCGATGCTCATCAGTAGCATTTTCAACAGATCTTCTTCCACTAGCCCTGGATCCATTATCATCTACTGCTACACGATCCAGTGGTATTTCTTCTATTTCATTGAAACTTTCATCGACCATTCTACCCTCAGAGTCAGATGACCTTCCCCGGTCACTTCCATTCTGTACATTCCGATGCTCATCAGTAGCATTTTCAACAGATCTTCTTCCACTAGCCCTGGATCCATTATCATCTACTGCTACACGATCCAGTGGTATTTCTTCTATTTCATTGAAACTTTCATCGACCATTCTACCCTCAGAGTCAGATGACCTTCCCCGGTCACTTCCATTCTGTACATTCCGATGCTCATCAGTAGCATTTTCAACAGATCTTCTTCCACTAGCCCTGGATCCATTATCATCTACTGCTACACGATCCAGTGGTATTTCTTCTATTTCATTGAAACTTTCATCGACCATTCTACCCTCAGAGTCAGATGACCTTCCCCGGTCACTTCCATTCTGTACATTCCGATGCTCATCAGTAGCATTTTCAACAGATCTTCTTCCACTAGCCCTGGATCCATTATCATCTACTGCTACACGATCCAGTGGTATTTCTTCTATTTCATTGAAACTTTCATCGACCATTCTACCCTCAGAGTCAGATGACCTTCCCCGGTCACTTCCATTCTGTACATTCCGATGCTCATCAGTAGCATTTTCAACAGATCTTCTTCCACTAGCCCTGGATCCATTATCATCTACTGCTACACGATCCAGTGGTATTTCTTCTATTTCATTGAAACTTTCATCGACCATTCTACCCTCAGAGTCAGATGACCTTCCCCGGTCACTTCCATTCTGTACATTCCGATGCTCATCAGTAGCATTTTCAACAGATCTTCTTCCACTAGCCCTGGATCCATTATCATCTACTGCTACACGATCCAGTGGTATTTCTTCTATTTCATTGAAACTTTCATCGACCATTCTACCCTCAGAGTCAGATGACCTTCCCCGGTCACTTCCATTCTGTACATTCCGATGCTCATCAGTAGCATTTTCAACAGATCTTCTTCCACTAGCCCTGGATCCATTATCATCTACTGCTACACGATCCAGTGGTATTTCTTCTATTTCATTGAAACTTTCATCGACCATTCTACCCTCAGAGTCAGATGACCTTCCCCGGTCACTTCCATTCTGTACATTCCGATGCTCATCAGTAGCATTTTCAACAGATCTTCTTCCACTAGCCCTGGATCCATTATCATCTACTGCTACACGATCCAGTGGTATTTCTTCTATTTCATTGAAACTTTCATCGACCATTCTACCCTCAGAGTCAGATGACCTTCCCCGGTCACTTCCATTCTGTACATTCCGATGCTCATCAGTAGCATTTTCAACAGATCTTCTTCCACTAGCCCTGGATCCATTATCATCTACTGCTACACGATCCAGTGGTATTTCTTCTATTTCATTGAAACTTTCATCGACCATTCTACCCTCAGAGTCAGATGACCTTCCCCGGTCACTTCCATTCTGTACATTCCGATGCTCATCAGTAGCATTTTCAACAGATCTTCTTCCACTAGCCCTGGATCCATTATCATCTACTGCTACACGATCCAGTGGTATTTCTTCTATTTCATTGAAACTTTCATCGACCATTCTACCCTCAGAGTCAGATGACCTTCCCCGGTCACTTCCATTCTGTACATTCCGATGCTCATCAGTAGCATTTTCAACAGATCTTCTTCCACTAGCCCTGGATCCATTATCATCTACTGCTACACGATCCAGTGGTATTTCTTCTATTTCATTGAAACTTTCATCGACCATTCTACCCTCAGAGTCAGATGACCTTCCCCGGTCACTTCCATTCTGTACATTCCGATGCTCATCAGTAGCATTTTCAACAGATCTTCTTCCACTAGCCCTGGATCCATTATCATCTACTGCTACACGATCCAGTGGTATTTCTTCTATTTCATTGAAACTTTCATCGACCATTCTACCCTCAGAGTCAGATGACCTTCCCCGGTCACTTCCATTCTGTACATTCCGATGCTCATCAGTAGCATTTTCAACAGATCTTCTTCCACTAGCCCTGGATCCATTATCATCTACTGCTACACGATCCAGTGGTATTTCTTCTATTTCATTGAAACTTTCATCGACCATTCTACCCTCAGAGTCAGATGACCTTCCCCGGTCACTTCCATTCTGTACATTCCGATGCTCATCAGTAGCATTTTCAACAGATCTTCTTCCACTAGCCCTGGATCCATTATCATCTACTGCTACACGATCCAGTGGTATTTCTTCTATTTCATTGAAACTTTCATCGACCATTCTACCCTCAGAGTCAGATGACCTTCCCCGGTCACTTCCATTCTGTACATTCCGATGCTCATCAGTAGCATTTTCAACAGATCTTCTTCCACTAGCCCTGGATCCATTATCATCTACTGCTACACGATCCAGTGGTATTTCTTCTATTTCATTGAAACTTTCATCGACCATTCTACCCTCAGAGTCAGATGACCTTCCCCGGTCACTTCCATTCTGTACATTCCGATGCTCATCAGTAGCATTTTCAACAGATCTTCTTCCACTAGCCCTGGATCCATTATCATCTACTGCTACACGATCCAGTGGTATTTCTTCTATTTCATTGAAACTTTCATCGACCATTCTACCCTCAGAGTCAGATGACCTTCCCCGGTCACTTCCATTCTGTACATTCCGATGCTCATCAGTAGCATTTTCAACAGATCTTCTTCCACTAGCCCTGGATCCATTATCATCTACTGCTACACGATCCAGTGGTATTTCTTCTATTTCATTGAAACTTTCATCGACCATTCTACCCTCAGAGTCAGATGACCTTCCCCGGTCACTTCCATTCTGTACATTCCGATGCTCATCAGTAGCATTTTCAACAGATCTTCTTCCACTAGCCCTGGATCCATTATCATCTACTGCTACACGATCCAGTGGTATTTCTTCTATTTCATTGAAACTTTCATCGACCATTCTACCCTCAGAGTCAGATGACCTTCCCCGGTCACTTCCATTCTGTACATTCCGATGCTCATCAGTAGCATTTTCAACAGATCTTCTTCCACTAGCCCTGGATCCATTATCATCTACTGCTACACGATCCAGTGGTATTTCTTCTATTTCATTGAAACTTTCATCGACCATTCTACCCTCAGAGTCAGATGACCTTCCCCGGTCACTTCCATTCTGTACATTCCGATGCTCATCAGTAGCATTTTCAACAGATCTTCTTCCACTAGCCCTGGATCCATTATCATCTACTGCTACACGATCCAGTGGTATTTCTTCTATTTCATTGAAACTTTCATCGACCATTCTACCCTCAGAGTCAGATGACCTTCCCCGGTCACTTCCATTCTGTACATTCCGATGCTCATCAGTAGCATTTTCAACAGATCTTCTTCCACTAGCCCTGGATCCATTATCATCTACTGCTACACGATCCAGTGGTATTTCTTCTATTTCATTGAAACTTTCATCGACCATTCTACCCTCAGAGTCAGATGACCTTCCCCGGTCACTTCCATTCTGTACATTCCGATGCTCATCAGTAGCATTTTCAACAGATCTTCTTCCACTAGCCCTGGATCCATTATCATCTACTGCTACACGATCCAGTGGTATTTCTTCTATTTCATTGAAACTTTCATCGACCATTCTACCCTCAGAGTCAGATGACCTTCCCCGGTCACTTCCATTCTGTACATTCCGATGCTCATCAGTAGCATTTTCAACAGATCTTCTTCCACTAGCCCTGGATCCATTATCATCTACTGCTACACGATCCAGTGGTATTTCTTCTATTTCATTGAAACTTTCATCGACCATTCTACCCTCAGAGTCAGATGACCTTCCCCGGTCACTTCCATTCTGTACATTCCGATGCTCATCAGTAGCATTTTCAACAGATCTTCTTCCACTAGCCCTGGATCCATTATCATCTACTGCTACACGATCCAGTGGTATTTCTTCTATTTCATTGAAACTTTCATCGACCATTCTACCCTCAGAGTCAGATGACCTTCCCCGGTCACTTCCATTCTGTACATTCCGATGCTCATCAGTAGCATTTTCAACAGATCTTCTTCCACTAGCCCTGGATCCATTATCATCTACTGCTACACGATCCAGTGGTATTTCTTCTATTTCATTGAAACTTTCATCGACCATTCTACCCTCAGAGTCAGATGACCTTCCCCGGTCACTTCCATTCTGTACATTCCGATGCTCATCAGTAGCATTTTCAACAGATCTTCTTCCACTAGCCCTGGATCCATTATCATCTACTGCTACACGATCCAGTGGTATTTCTTCTATTTCATTGAAACTTTCATCGACCATTCTACCCTCAGAGTCAGATGACCTTCCCCGGTCACTTCCATTCTGTACATTCCGATGCTCATCAGTAGCATTTTCAACAGATCTTCTTCCACTAGCCCTGGATCCATTATCATCTACTGCTACACGATCCAGTGGTATTTCTTCTATTTCATTGAAACTTTCATCGACCATTCTACCCTCAGAGTCAGATGACCTTCCCCGGTCACTTCCATTCTGTACATTCCGATGCTCATCAGTAGCATTTTCAACAGATCTTCTTCCACTAGCCCTGGATCCATTATCATCTACTGCTACACGATCCAGTGGTATTTCTTCTATTTCATTGAAACTTTCATCGACCATTCTACCCTCAGAGTCAGATGACCTTCCCCGGTCACTTCCATTCTGTACATTCCGATGCTCATCAGTAGCATTTTCAACAGATCTTCTTCCACTAGCCCTGGATCCATTATCATCTACTGCTACACGATCCAGTGGTATTTCTTCTATTTCATTGAAACTTTCATCGACCATTCTACCCTCAGAGTCAGATGACCTTCCCCGGTCACTTCCATTCTGTACATTCCGATGCTCATCAGTAGCATTTTCAACAGATCTTCTTCCACTAGCCCTGGATCCATTATCATCTACTGCTACACGATCCAGTGGTATTTCTTCTATTTCATTGAAACTTTCATCGACCATTCTACCCTCAGAGTCAGATGACCTTCCCCGGTCACTTCCATTCTGTACATTCCGATGCTCATCAGTAGCATTTTCAACAGATCTTCTTCCACTAGCCCTGGATCCATTATCATCTACTGCTACACGATCCAGTGGTATTTCTTCTATTTCATTGAAACTTTCATCGACCATTCTACCCTCAGAGTCAGATGACCTTCCCCGGTCACTTCCATTCTGTACATTCCGATGCTCATCAGTAGCATTTTCAACAGATCTTCTTCCACTAGCCCTGGATCCATTATCATCTACTGCTACACGATCCAGTGGTATTTCTTCTATTTCATTGAAACTTTCATCGACCATTCTACCCTCAGAGTCAGATGACCTTCCCCGGTCACTTCCATTCTGTACATTCCGATGCTCATCAGTAGCATTTTCAACAGATCTTCTTCCACTAGCCCTGGATCCATTATCATCTACTGCTACACGATCCAGTGGTATTTCTTCTATTTCATTGAAACTTTCATCGACCATTCTACCCTCAGAGTCAGATGACCTTCCCCGGTCACTTCCATTCTGTACATTCCGATGCTCATCAGTAGCATTTTCAACAGATCTTCTTCCACTAGCCCTGGATCCATTATCATCTACTGCTACACGATCCAGTGGTATTTCTTCTATTTCATTGAAACTTTCATCGACCATTCTACCCTCAGAGTCAGATGACCTTCCCCGGTCACTTCCATTCTGTACATTCCGATGCTCATCAGTAGCATTTTCAACAGATCTTCTTCCACTAGCCCTGGATCCATTATCATCTACTGCTACACGATCCAGTGGTATTTCTTCTATTTCATTGAAACTTTCATCGACCATTCTACCCTCAGAGTCAGATGACCTTCCCCGGTCACTTCCATTCTGTACATTCCGATGCTCATCAGTAGCATTTTCAACAGATCTTCTTCCACTAGCCCTGGATCCATTATCATCTACTGCTACACGATCCAGTGGTATTTCTTCTATTTCATTGAAACTTTCATCGACCATTCTACCCTCAGAGTCAGATGACCTTCCCCGGTCACTTCCATTCTGTACATTCCGATGCTCATCAGTAGCATTTTCAACAGATCTTCTTCCACTAGCCCTGGATGCTACACGATCCAGTGGTATTTCTTCTATTTCATTGAAACTTTCATCGACCATTCTACCCTCAGAGTCAGATGACCTTCCCCGGTCACTTCCATTCTGTACATTCCGATGCTCAATCAGTAGATTTTCAACAGATCGTCTTCCACTAGCCCTGGGATCCATTATCGATCTACTGCTACAGCGATCCAGTGGTATTTCTTCTATTCATTGAAACTTTCATCGACATTCTACCCCGCAGAGGTCAGATGACCTTCCCCGGTCACTTCCATTCTGTACATTCCGATGCATCATCAGTAGCATTTTCAAGCAGATCTTCACTGACCACTAGCCTGGATCCATTATCATCTACTGCTACACGATCCAGTGGTATTTCTTCTATTATTGAAACTTTCATCGACCATGTCTACCCTCAGGAGGTCAGATGACCTTGCCCCGGTCACTTCCATTCTGTCATTCCGATGCTCATCAGTAGAAAAAAAATTTTTCAACAGATGCTTCTTGCTCCATTATCATCTACTGCTACACGATCCAGTGGTATTTTCTTCTATTTCATTGAAACTTTCATCAGGACCGTTCTACCCTCAGAGTCAGATGACCTTCCCCGGTCACTTCCATTCTGTACATTCCGTGCTCATCAGTATTGCATTTTCAACAGATCTTCTTTCCACTAGCCCTGGATCCATTATCATCTACTGATACCGATCCAGTGGTATTTCTTCTATTTCATTGAAACTTTCATCGACCATTCTACCCTCAGAGTCAGCATGACCTTCCCCGGTCACTTCCATTCTGTACATTCCGATGCTCCTCAGTAGCATTTTCAAACAGATCTTCTTCCACTAGCCCTGGATCCATTATCATCTACTAGCTACACGATCCAGTGGTATTTCTTCTAATTTCATTGAAACTTTCATCGACCATTCTACACCCACCAGAGTCAGATGACCTTCCCCGGTCACTTCCATTCTGTACATTCCGATGCTCATCAGTAGCATTTTCAATCTTCTTCCACTAGCCCTGGATCCATTATCATCTACTGCTACACGATCCAGTGGTATTTCTTCTATTTCATTGAAACTTTCATCGACCATTCTACCCTCAGAGTCAGATGACCTTCCCCGGTCACTTCCATTCTGTACATTCCGATGCTCATCAGTAGCATTTTCAACAGATCTTCTTCCACTAGCCCTGGATCCATTATCATCTACTGCTAACACGATCCAGTGTATTTCTTCTATTTCATTGAAACTTTCATCGACCATTCTACCCTCAGAAGTCAGATGACCTTCCCCGGTCACTTCCATTCTGTACATTCCGATGCTCATCAGTAGCATTTTTCAACAGATCTTCTTCCACTAGCCCTGGATCCATTATCATCTACTGCTACACGATCCAGGTTGGTATTTCTTCTATTTCATTGAAACTTTCATCGACCATTCTACCCTCAGAGTCAGATGACCTTCCCCGGTCACTTCCATTCTGTACATTCCGATGCTCATCAGTAGCATTTTCAACAGATCTTCTTCCACTAGCCCTGGATCCATTATCATCTACTGCTACACGATCCAGTGGTATTTCTTCTATTTCATTGAAACTTTCATCGACCATTCTACCCTCAGAGTCAGATGACCTTCCCCGGTCACTTCCATTCTGTACATTCCGATGCTCATCAGTAGCATTTTCAACAGATCTTCTTCCACTAGCCCTGGATCCATTATCATCTACTGCTACACGATCCAGTGGTATTTCTTCTATTTCATTGAAACTTTCATCGACCATTCTACCCTCAGAGTCAGATGACCTTCCCCGGTCACTTCCATTCTGTACATTCCGATGCTCATCAGTAGCATTTTCAACAGATCTTCTTCCACTAGCCCTGGATCCATTATCATCTACTGCTACACGATCCAGTGGTATTTCTTCTATTTCATTGAAACTTTCATCGACCATTCTACCCTCAGAGTCAGATGACCTTCCCCGGTCACTTCCATTCTGTACATTCCGATGCTCATCAGTAGCATTTTCAACAGATCTTCTTCCACTAGCCCTGGATCCATTATCATCTACTGCTACACGATCCAGTGGTATTTCTTCTATTTCATTGAAACTTTCATCGACCATTCTACCCTCAGAGTCAGATGACCTTCCCCGGTCACTTCCATTCTGTACATTCCGATGCTCATCAGTAGCATTTTCAACAGATCTTCTTCCACTAGCCCTGGATCCATTATCATCTACTGCTACACGATCCAGTGGTATTTCTTCTATTTCATTGAAACTTTCATCGACCATTCTACCCTCAGAGTCAGATGACCTTCCCCGGTCACTTCCATTCTGTACATTCCGATGCTCATCAGTAGCATTTTCAACAGATCTTCTTCCACTAGCCCTGGATCCATTATCATCTACTGCTACACGATCCAGTGGTATTTCTTCTATTTCATTGAAACTTTCATCGACCATTCTACCCTCAGAGTCAGATGACCTTCCCCGGTCACTTCTTCATTCTGTAATTTCGATGCTCTCAGTACATTTTCAACAGAATCTTCTTTCCACTAGCCCTGGATCCGTTATCATCTAATGTACAGCGATCAGTGGTATTTCTTCTATTTCATTGAAACTTTCATCGACATTCTAACCCTCAGAATCAGATACCTTTCCCCGTCACTTCATTCTGGTACATTCCGATGCTCATCAGTAGCATGTGTCAAACAGATCTTCTTCACTAGATCCCTGGATCCAATTATTCATCGACTGCTACAACCGAATCCAGTGGTATTTCTTCTATTTGCATTGAAACTTTCTATCGACCATTACTAACCCTCAGAGTCAGATTGAACCGTTCCCCGGTCACTTCATATCTGTATCATTCCGATGCTCATCAGTAAGCATTTTCAGCAGATCTTCTTGCCACTAGCCCTTGGGAGCCATTATCATCTACTGCTACACGATCCAGTGGTATTTCTTCTATTTCATTGAAACTTTCATCGACCAATTCTACCCGCAGAATAAGATGACCTTCCCCCGGTCACTTCCCATTCTGTACATTCCGATGCTCATCAGTAGCATTTTCAACAGATCTTCTTCCACTAGCCCTGGATCCATTATCATCTACTGCTACACGATCCAGTGGTATTTCTTCTATTTCATTGAAACTTTCATCGACCATTCTACCCTCAGAGTCAGATGACCTTCCCCGGTCACTTCCATTCTGTACATTCCGATGCTCATCAGTAGCATTTTCAACAGATCTTCTTCCACTAGCCCTGGATCCATTATCATCTACTGCTACACGATCCAGTGGTATTTCTTCTATTTCATTGAAACTTTCATCGACCATTCTACCCTCAGAGTCAGATGACCTTCCCCGGTCACTTCCATTCTGTACATTCCGATGCTCATCAGTAGCATTTTCAACAGATCTTCTTCCACTAGCCCTGGATCCATTATCATCTACTGCTACACGATCCAGTGGTATTTCTTCTATTTCATTGAAACTTTCATCGACCATTCTACCCTCAGAGTCAGATGACCTTCCCCGGTCACTTCCATTCTGTACATTCCGATGCTCATCAGTAGCATTTTCAACAGATCTTCTTCCACTAGCCCTGGATCCATTATCATCTACTGCTACACGATCCAGTGGTATTTCTTCTATTTCATTGAAACTTTCATCGACCATTCTACCCTCAGAGTCAGATGACCTTCCCCGGTCACTTCCATTCTGTACATTCCGATGCTCATCAGTAGCATTTTCAACAGATCTTCTTCCACTAGCCCTGGATCCATTATCATCTACTGCTACACGATCCAGTGGTATTTCTTCTATTTCATTGAAACTTTCATCGACCATTCTACCCTCAGAGTCAGATGACCTTCCCCGGTCACTTCCATTCTGTACATTCCGATGCTCATCAGTAGCATTTTCAACAGATCTTCTTCCACTAGCCCTGGATCCATTATCATCTACTGCTACACGATCCAGTGGTATTTCTTCTATTTCATTGAAACTTTCATCGACCATTCTACCCTCAGAGTCAGATGACCTTCCCCGGTCACTTCCATTCTGTACATTCCGATGCTCATCAGTAGCATTTTCAACAGATCTTCTTCCACTAGCCCTGGATCCATTATCATCTACTGCTACACGATCCAGTGGTATTTCTTCTATTTCATTGAAACTTTCATCGACCATTCTACCCTCAGAGTCAGATGACCTTCCCCGGTCACTTCCATTCTGTACATTCCGATGCTCATCAGTAGCATTTTCAACAGATCTTCTTCCACTAGCCCTGGATCCATTATCATCTACTGCTACACGATCCAGTGGTATTTCTTCTATTTCATTGAAACTTTCATCGACCATTCTACCCTCAGAGTCAGATGACCTTCCCCGGTCACTTCCATTCTGTACATTCCGATGCTCATCAGTAGCATTTTCAACAGATCTTCTTCCACTAGCCCTGGATCCATTATCATCTACTGCTACACGATCCAGTGGTATTTCTTCTATTTCATTGAAACTTTCATCGACCATTCTACCCTCAGAGTCAGATGACCTTCCCCGGTCACTTCCATTCTGTACATTCCGATGCTCATCAGTAGCATTTTCAACAGATCTTCTTCCACTAGCCCTGGATCCATTATCATCTACTGCTACACGATCCAGTGGTATTTCTTCTATTTCATTGAAACTTTCATCGACCATTCTACCCTCAGAGTCAGATGACCTTCCCCGGTCACTTCCATTCTGTACATTCCGATGCTCATCAGTAGCATTTTCAACAGATCTTCTTCCACTAGCCCTGGATCCATTATCATCTACTGCTACACGATCCAGTGGTATTTCTTCTATTTCATTGAAACTTTCATCGACCATTCTACCCTCAGAGTCAGATGACCTTCCCCGGTCACTTCCATTCTGTACATTCCGATGCTCATCAGTAGCATTTTCAACAGATCTTCTTCCACTAGCCCTGGATCCATTATCATCTACTGCTACACGATCCAGTGGTATTTCTTCTATTTCATTGAAACTTTCATCGACCATTCTACCCTCAGAGTCAGATGACCTTCCCCGGTCACTTCCATTCTGTACATTCCGATGCTCATCAGTAGCATTTTCAACAGATCTTCTTCCACTAGCCCTGGATCCATTATCATCTACTGCTACACGATCCAGTGGTATTTCTTCTATTTCATTGAAACTTTCATCGACCATTCTACCCTCAGAGTCAGATGACCTTCCCCGGTCACTTCCATTCTGTACATTCCGATGCTCATCAGTAGCATTTTCAACAGATCTTCTTCCACTAGCCCTGGATCCATTATCATCTACTGCTACACGATCCAGTGGTATTTCTTCTATTTCATTGAAACTTTCATCGACCATTCTACCCTCAGAGTCAGATGACCTTCCCCGGTCACTTCCATTCTGTACATTCCGATGCTCATCAGTAGCATTTTCAACAGATCTTCTTCCACTAGCCCTGGATCCATTATCATCTACTGCTACACGATCCAGTGGTATTTCTTCTATTTCATTGAAACTTTCATCGACCATTCTACCCTCAGAGTCAGATGACCTTCCCCGGTCACTTCCATTCTGTACATTCCGATGCTCATCAGTAGCATTTTCAACAGATCTTCTTCCACTAGCCCTGGATCCATTATCATCTACTGCTACACGATCCAGTGGTATTTCTTCTATTTCATTGAAACTTTCATCGACCATTCTACCCTCAGAGTCAGATGACCTTCCCCGGTCACTTCCATTCTGTACATTCCGATGCTCATCAGTAGCATTTTCAACAGATCTTCTTCCACTAGCCCTGGATCCATTATCATCTACTGCTACACGATCCAGTGGTATTTCTTCTATTTCATTGAAACTTTCATCGACCATTCTACCCTCAGAGTCAGATGACCTTCCCCGGTCACTTCCATTCTGTACATTCCGATGCTCATCAGTAGCATTTTCAACAGATCTTCTTCCACTAGCCCTGGATCCATTATCATCTACTGCTACACGATCCAGTGGTATTTCTTCTATTTCATTGAAACTTTCATCGACCATTCTACCCTCAGAGTCAGATGACCTTCCCCGGTCACTTCCATTCTGTACATTCCGATGCTCATCAGTAGCATTTTCAACAGATCTTCTTCCACTAGCCCTGGATCCATTATCATCTACTGCTACACGATCCAGTGGTATTTCTTCTATTTCATTGAAACTTTCATCGACCATTCTACCCTCAGAGTCAGATGACCTTCCCCGGTCACTTCCATTCTGTACATTCCGATGCTCATCAGTAGCATTTTCAACAGATCTTCTTCCACTAGCCCTGGATCCATTATCATCTACTGCTACACGATCCAGTGGTATTTCTTCTATTTCATTGAAACTTTCATCGACCATTCTACCCTCAGAGTCAGATGACCTTCCCCGGTCACTTCCATTCTGTACATTCCGATGCTCATCAGTAGCATTTTCAACAGATCTTCTTCCACTAGCCCTGGATCCATTATCATCTACTGCTACACGATCCAGTGGTATTTCTTCTATTTCATTGAAACTTTCATCGACCATTCTACCCTCAGAGTCAGATGACCTTCCCCGGTCACTTCCATTCTGTACATTCCGATGCTCATCAGTAGCATTTTCAACAGATCTTCTTCCACTAGCCCTGGATCCATTATCATCTACTGCTACACGATCCAGTGGTATTTCTTCTATTTCATTGAAACTTTCATCGACCATTCTACCCTCAGAGTCAGATGACCTTCCCCGGTCACTTCCATTCTGTACATTCCGATGCTCATCAGTAGCATTTTCAACAGATCTTCTTCCACTAGCCCTGGATCCATTATCATCTACTGCTACACGATCCAGTGGTATTTCTTCTATTTCATTGAAACTTTCATCGACCATTCTACCCTCAGAGTCAGATGACCTTCCCCGGTCACTTCCATTCTGTACATTCCGATGCTCATCAGTAGCATTTTCAACAGATCTTCTTCCACTAGCCCTGGATCCATTATCATCTACTGCTACACGATCCAGTGGTATTTCTTCTATTTCATTGAAACTTTCATCGACCATTCTACCCTCAGAGTCAGATGACCTTCCCCGGTCACTTCCATTCTGTACATTCCGATGCTCATCAGTAGCATTTTCAACAGATCTTCTTCCACTAGCCCTGGATCCATTATCATCTACTGCTACACGATCCAGTGGTATTTCTTCTATTTCATTGAAACTTTCATCGACCATTCTACCCTCAGAGTCAGATGACCTTCCCCGGTCACTTCCATTCTGTACATTCCGATGCTCATCAGTAGCATTTTCAACAGATCTTCTTCCACTAGCCCTGGATCCATTATCATCTACTGCTACACGATCCAGTGGTATTTCTTCTATTTCATTGAAACTTTCATCGACCATTCTACCCTCAGAGTCAGATGACCTTCCCCGGTCACTTCCATTCTGTACATTCCGATGCTCATCAGTAGCATTTTCAACAGATCTTCTTCCACTAGCCCTGGATCCATTATCATCTACTGCTACACGATCCAGTGGTATTTCTTCTATTTCATTGAAACTTTCATCGACCATTCTACCCTCAGAGTCAGATGACCTTCCCCGGTCACTTCCATTCTGTACATTCCGATGCTCATCAGTAGCATTTTCAACAGATCTTCTTCCACTAGCCCTGGATCCATTATCATCTACTGCTACACGATCCAGTGGTATTTCTTCTATTTCATTGAAACTTTCATCGACCATTCTACCCTCAGAGTCAGATGACCTTCCCCGGTCACTTCCATTCTGTACATTCGGATACTGATTATTATTCTTTTGTACACTTTGGTTATTATTTTGAAAGATACCGACGTTTGTTGTGATGTGATCTGTTGTCGTCTTTGTTTTTTCATTGCTCATCGGTGTCCCTTGTTGCCGTTTAGAATGCGAAGTTTTCTTCTGTACATAATCGTTTTCGGAATTAGTATAATCATAAATGGAATTTTTATGGGATATATGAATATCTCCTGGTAGATTATTATCTGCTATTAAGAAATGAAACATTGAATTTTTTATTTCATTCATCGGTTCTTTCACTATTTGAGATTCACAGTCATCTGAATTTTTCTGGTCACTGATGCATCCTACTTTGGTTGTGGCATGTGGTTTTTGCAGAAACGATGTTAATTCATCACACTGTCGAGAATTCAATGATAATATACACTGATAACTGGATTCCAAATTTGATTGTTTCATTTGCTGATATAATTCTGATAATTTGTTCAAACTTAACCATCGTTCTTCAAATCCATCATGTGGTGTCAGAAATGATAGGTCACATTTTCCAAAGTTTTTATGAATGAGGTTTGATACACCCTTCGCTATTGAATTATTATTGATTGTATGTTCATTTTCATCGTATTTTTCATTCAATATTTCAATAAATAATCGTTTTTCGCGATCAGATAAGTATTCTCTTTCTTTAGTATGCATTAATTTTTCAGTTAATTTACCATCATTGATATGATTTTCAATGATTTTCATCTTTAGATTGATATCCTCTATTCGTTTAAACAAATAACTTATAGTCTTTCTCATTGAGTTATATAATTCACACAATTTGTGTTCAACATCGTCGTTTTCGATGAATACATTATCGAGATTATCTTCATGATTACTGACAACAGTTTTTGAAGCTTTTCGTGATAACGACGATGTTGATAATTCATCAACCAGGTGAAAATCATTTTCAACTTGATTCCAATGTGACTTAATAATAAATTCTTGATCATTTTTCAGAGCTGGTTTCAATAAATCATAATGTTGTTCATGAAAAGACGCACTATCAATGCTTTGTTTCATTTCATTCGGCAGCGAATCAATCAATAAGGAGTTCAGTGAGTGAAGTTCTTGCGTCAATTCACTAATTATCTTGGTATTCAATTGATTTTGTTTTCTTAAGTATAAATTTTCATAACACATTCTACTTTCAGTTTCTAATGAAGTTTGTAAATTCATTTCAATTTGATTATCATCCTGCATTAGTTGTTCGTAATCATCAGTAGTAGTTGTAGATCGATTGAGAAACATATGCAAATGTTTAAAACGATTAGAAATACTACTACTATCAAATTCATTACAAGTAATTAGTTCATTATTCAATGTAACATATTGATGAATGCGTTGTATCAGTAATGATACAGATGATGATGATGAGGTTGATTTATTCAAATATTGAAGAATTTCTTTGAATAAACCATCGATAAACGAATGTAGACTGTGATTGATTTTATCGATTGATGAATCATCTTGATGATTAAGTGCATTTTGTTCGGTAGATGTATTCAAACATACATCGTATAACAACGAATATAATCGATTTATTTCTGATTTAGCTACGGTAAGCTCATGTTCAGTGGATTGAGATTCCTCAATTGGTGATCTTTGTGACATGATGAATCTTGAGTCAGCTGTATCAGAGGTTAGATTAGATGTAAAATGGCAGTTAGCGTTCACGTTTTTATCAATCGGATAAAATACTATGACTAGAACAGTCAATACTTTTACATCAAATACAAGATGGCCAGTGTTATAATACCAATAATCAATAACCTACGTAAATTTGAAAAACTAGATAGAATGCTAGAAAATGATCACTGCAAATCCCAACCAACTTAAGACATTTATAAAAATTAGAAGAATCTATCTAAACATCTACCAGTTTGGTAGATAGCGAACTGTTAAAATGTATTTTATAAAAATGAAATATGTTCAAAATTCAATAATTATTTAATATTGACAAGCTTCCGTGTGGTTCATTTAAAGCGAAACGATGATGGAATACGGTAAAAAGGAAGTAGTGTTGCCTTTCTAATTGGTCAAGATTATCAAAAAACGTTTCAAAATTATTGAATCTAATAGTCATAACAATAATTTTCTTTAAATGGAATGGTGTTATTTCAGTGTAATTATTAAAGTTTTGAAATATTCAATAAAAAGAAGTTACATCTGTTAGCAAAATAATCAAAAAGAATCGTCAAGATCTCACGTTATGTCGTAGTTTTACAAACACTGAGAAGTAAGACTTGGTAATTGTTTATTTTGTAAAGAAGGAGGAGATTAAGGTAACAAATTAGCACTAATAATTTATAAAAATCCCAAGAGATGCTAAGACCATGGGTGAATAAAAGATTGAACATTACTCCTCTGAACACAGAGGTTGATTTTTTAGATGATGAGAAGCTATAGCCTCAGCTGTGTACAAGTTCCTCATTCAAACCGTTTTCCAGCCGGTTCTTTTCACTTTATGGAGTATATTTAAAGGTGATACATGCGGTGGGTTGTGACCTCAGCTGACTAAATATTTTAGAATTAAACTGCCGACTGATTCGCATTCTCTACGAAGCATGACAGTAGACTCAAAGTTAGAATGTAGGCCGCTCCAATATTCTGCTTCTTCTACCTCTATCGACTTTATCAAAAAAATTCGTATCATAAACCTGTGCAAATTCATGCTCAACCCTACATTAGCCGCTTCTGATGCAGTCTCAAAGGAAATGAGTCAATTCGTCTGGTTCACCACGACAAGTGACTCGAGTTCAAAATTTAATTTCAATTGAGAAAACTTAAATGAACGAGTTTTTGATTAATAATTCGTCAATCAACACCTAATCGACTTTATTCATGTAACTAATTCAGTTACTTAAAGCACACTAGTGAAAGGATCACTTTTAAGAAAAGATTCACATATGTCTCCATATCTATGGAAAATGTAAGAGTTATATTCATCAAATGTCAACCTAACAAACTTTCATTATCATTATAAGGTTGTGGTTGAGATTAAGCGATCGTGCGCGAAACCGAAAGGTTCTGGGGTTAGATTCCCGTGAGCGAGGATCGTGGATGCGCACTGCCACTGATGAGTCCCATACCAGGACGAAATAGCTGACTTCCAATGCTTCCAAGTTTCTAACGCTTGCCTAACATAGATTGATGCATGAATACAATAAAACTTTAATTAACGACATATTATCTAATGAAAAGTTGAATAGTGACTAGCTAAATGTATACAAGACTTTCTCTGAAATGTATAAATTTTATTTGTAACTTACGTAAAATTGAATTTTCCATCATGATCGTCTGAACAAGATCATCTGTTGAAGTTGCCTGAAAATTAAAAGAGAAAAAAACAATACTTATGATTTACTATTCATGTTAAAAGTACTTGATGAATGCACAGAGTTACTCAGTAAAATCGGAAAACCATATCGTAAATTGTTTATTTGCAAAATATCAGTTCATCCTATCGAACTGGACTATTCCTGTTGCCAAACATCAATCGATTGTCACTATTCATGCGTTTCATACAAATTTCATCGTTTTCTAACTCTTCCTTTCTTGATCTTCCCCCATATTATGCTGCCGGATATTACGTTTACACTCACGTCATATACTACTTATAAGTAGCTCACACCACAACATTACGGAAAATTATTCATTTGACAACTTATCCAAATATATGAATGTAGAGTGCTGAAGAGATCATCACAATTATATATCATTGTTACAAATCGATGATTATTGCATAATCAACTGATATATCCAAATAAGACTGAAAAGTATAACAGTGTATTTCCAATTTAAAATGTTAACAAGAATGAAATATTTTGATATTTGAAGTTAATTAGACTTTTTAATATTATTCCTTGAAGACATTAATTAACATTAGTTCAACGTAACATTAAAATAATTGCGTGACACACAAATTGTTGAGTCTATTAGTAGGCTCAACTATTGTACACACATACAACAGAGGTAGGTAGTTTTCTTAGAGGACCACTTCACAGGCATTTGACTTATAGGTCTATTCTACAAGGTAGTGAAGCAGCCTTAGAAAATTCAGTCCTACCCTAACTGTTGACTAACAACAGGTTCACATGTTATTTTTACCTCTGGGGTTTTTCAAACATCTTTGGGTGAAGCAGCATCTACGGACCTCTCAATCAATGTTGGCCCATCAACAGTTGAAGAGTTCAGCATGACCATCAGACAAATAAAGAGCGGCAAAGCAGCCAGACCAGACAACGTCCCAGCAAAGGTACTGAAAGCAGACGTAGCAGTAACTGCAAAGACACTCCATATTCTCTTCAGCAAGATTTGGGAGGAAGAACAAGTACCAACAGACTGGAAACGAGGATACCTGATCAGAATACCAAAGAAAGGCGGTCTCAGCAAGTGTGAGAACTACATAGAGGCATCCCTCTCCTCTCAATACCGGGCAAACTCTTCAACTGAGTGTTTTCAAAAAAAGTGAAGGAATACGTAGACGCTCAAATTCGATATCAACAGGATCTGTAAGGATCGATCGTGTATTGACCAAATAGCCACATTATCTATCACTGTGGAACAATCAATTGAATGTAACTCACCACTGTATATCAGCTTCATTGACTACGAGAAAGCATTTGATATGATGGACAGGACAGCATGATTGGTGAGCACAGGGGATCTGATTCAGATGTGAATGCGCTTATCGACAAAGCAAGAACAGCATTTCTACACCTGAGCAACATCTAGAACTTAAAAACGTAACAAGAATGAACAGCCAGTGGACTGAACTAGAAAAGAAGTCCCAGGATAGAGTAGGTTAGAGAATACTGATCTGCAGCCTATTGTTCATTGAGGGTCACAAGGGTAAGTAGGTAATTAAGTATAATTACTCACCTGATCATTAATTTCTTTCCTTTTCATATTATTATCAATTTCTAATTGCTGTTGTTCCAATTTTTCAGTGAATTGATCAAATTGAATTTTACGATGTTTTAATTCATTCGACAAATCAATCATTTGTTGTTCAGTTTTCACTTGTAAATCATTTAAATTCAAATTTGAAAATTGATCAAATTCTCCAGTACAATAGCAATCATAAAGTTTTATTGAAATCATACAAAAATTAAGTAATACCTTGAAAAATTGTTGACATAATGATGAATAGTTAATTTCATGACTTTTCATTTCCCAACAATTTAACAAATTACTTGTAGCCAATTCAAGTTCATTTAATTCAAATAGAAATTCTTTTTCAATATTTTTATTGAGACTTAGAAAAGGATGAATATTGTTATTATTATTTATAGTTGACTGAATTAATTTATCATTGATTTCTATGGCGAAATGATGTACAATTGCATCGGTCACATTGAAATTATTCTGTTGATATTGTGTTTGAGCAGTAATATGTGTTATACAATCATTAGTAGTAGTAGTAGTATAAAGTGGATTATTGATAATGGTGCTTTGTTGACCAAGTGAATAATTTGTGCCAGTCAGGTATGATCGCAGTAAACGTAAATAATGAAATAAATTTGCTTCGGTTAGTTCACATTTAGCATACAATTGATCATTATCTTTACTCATTTTATTAAATTCTTCTGATAAAAATTTTTTCAAGGTATCATGATGATATGTTGTTTCATTATCTAGACAATCAATCTAAATCAAGAAATGTAGATAGATAGCATACAAGACATTAATAAGAGAAATAATACACCAATGAACTATTATTATTAATTAGTTGTAACATTCAGTTTAAATCCTTAAGTGCGGATCTAAACCTATACAACTAGCCACATATATGTGAGTACACTGAATAGGAAACTGCCAAATGGTAGGGGAATATTATAACAAAGTATGCAGTGATAATAAATCAAAGATTACAAGAAACTTCTATCATAAACCTACCTATCCTGCTATGATCGATCTGAGGCATCAATAAAAGTCCGCACTAATAAAACATGTCTATAGTGAAAGCCCTCAACCAAAGGTTTTAAAACTTCCGACATAGTCCACTCTAACAGACAATGACTTCAAGAACTAATTCTATGTTGTGGCTTGACTGCTCCTTCCCTTATTCCAAATATCGCCTACGCTAGATAGCATTGAGTAGTAGAATAGTTTTGGACGCAAATTCCAAACATCTCGGTCGATTGAGATGTATAAAATAGTGTATGCCAATTATAAGATGTGCTATTTGGCGCGCTCTTCGAAATTGACGTGTCCTCCTTGACCTCCCAACACTTACAGAAAACAATCTAGTTTTCGGCAAGAGATTTAGATATTTAAACATTCCAGAGAAAATAAACTTTGTCTCCATTCATTGGTAGACAGTCGAAGTAACAATCCCAAGTCAAAACCACTATGCGGTAGTCTAGCTGTCTCGATCAACTGCTCTCTTCCTAGTCGCTTCGGCAGCATACAAACATTCGTTCACCTGCAAACACAGGACTTGTGGAGAAGTTACTGAATCCAAACAAAGCGGCTTCCTGGGACGGTCAAAGGTAAATTGCGATTTCGAAGGACTTCAGGTTCTACTCTAGCGTAGTATATATTCATTCAGTTTTAATATTGTCATTTTTCTACTTCAAAACTTCAAATTATCTCGTTTGCCATCCATAAATCTCTAAGGTATCATGTTTCAGTAATAACGTTGCTATCAGTGCTTACACCTGAACAACTAAGAAAACTAGTAGACGTATGAATTCCGGGGTTGATAGTCAGTCGAAAATCCCAGTTTTCAGAGACAAAACTGTTAAAAAGCACAAGTCACTTGATAGTGAACCTTGGAGTAATATGCACAACTCGGGTCACTAGACCCAGACAACCTTCACAGGGTCTTCAACAAAGATACCAGAGTGACATTACCTTCCAGACTCCATCTCCTAGTAAGACCAGTAGGCAAAATAATAATGGAAGAAATAGGCACCTAATTGTTCAGAAAGAAACACAAAGACAGTTGTATCCTCTGCTTGATGCCCGTCTAAACCAGTGATTCTGCATTTGAAGGTGACTTTTGTCATGCATGAGTTCACTGTCACTGCGACACTGCAGTACCTAAACACTGTGATGGTTTCACTCTAAGTCATCCCTGTTCGTAGTTCTGGTGTGTTTGCCCACGGTCTGGAACCATTCGGAAAACAAAATTAATAGTGGTACAGCTATTAAAAGTTGTGGACTAGCTGAAAATGACATCGTTCAGAAGTCTGTCCTACACAATGTACCTCAGGCGAATCGCACACCGATAGAGAAAATAACACAGGTTAGGCAAGGCGCTGAACGCTTGAGATAGGCGAAAATGAGAGCCTGTCACAAGTAGAATGTTTATCTGCAGGGTTCTGACCGTAGTTCTAACTTCGCATTGATGCAATGGCAAGGTTAGAAGTGATAGGAGACACTTTCAGATAAAGATTGGGGCCATAATACAAGTAAACCCAAAATATTTGCTGAGGTTCATGACTAAAAGAAAACCTACAAACCAGGACGTTTGTACTCTCAAAGGTCCAAATGGCGAAGATCTTATCAACTTAAAGATGGATAAGACCTTTACCACCGATAGGCTAAGCCAGATACCTCCACGTTCAGAGTACTACTCAGACCTAGTTCCAGCTGACGACCTAGGGAACACCCGACTTAATCCTGAATTAGTTCTAAGAAAACTTCAATTCCTGCTTCCAGGAATACCACCAAGATCTGACAATATTAGCCCATTAGTCTTGAAACAGTGTTAAGAAGCCCTGATTTACTTCGATCTTGGTTTATATACTACTCTAAGAACAGAAAGTTCCGTACCAAAGTAAATAAAATGCATGCAAGCTGGCGAATTTCATCACCACGACTTTCCCAGGGGACCATCTTTGGCCAACCCCTCTTCCTGATAATTATTAATGACTTTTTAGATAAAATTAGCTTAGCAGCACTAGTCGACATAGATTATGCAAAGATCTGGAGGTACATAAGAAGCGATGAGCATTCAACTTAGCTTCTAAAGGACCTGACAGCGGTTGAGGAACGGGCAGTAGAAAACGGGTAGAAACTTAACCAGAAGTAATGTCACATTATGGCCATTCTACCTCATGTGGAGCAAACAACCCATATCCTCAATGGAAGCATCACCACCACTCCCCTCAAGGTAACCCTCGAAAAATCGTATATCAAAGAGCAAACGCCCAGGTTTGAGCATATTTTTTCTCATAAAGAGTCATTGCAAGTTAGAACTTTTTCCCAGCCGAGGTGACCACAGCCACCCCCTTTAAGAAGAGGCTTTCTCAACACGAACTCACGGATCCTCATTTCTCTTTTAGACCAGCTGTGCCTGATACATGTCTCAAAACTTGCTAGCTGTTATCTTTGTCATTTCCTCAGGTCACTAACTTATTCTTTCTCGCTTATTATTATCGACTGCTAAAAAATCAACTGCTTTATACTAGCTCGTGAAGAAGATATTAGATATTGAGTCTACTTCCCACCTTATCCAACAATCAACCAAATCATTACTGACTATGGGATTATATCACACGTACCGAATGCTTCGGAGACGTGACACATGCGAAAATTGGCTGCAGTGATACAGATACACCAACTTTATATTCCTCTCTAAATCTTCAGGAGGTACGAAGCATACTTTGAACCCAATGATTTCATTTGCTATCCAAAAAATATATTTTAGCCGGACAGTTTCCCCACTTAAACAGATACTCACTTCCTTTACGCCCTACTAATTTTCCCCCTGTTGACTGCAAACAGTAGCAACCTGAGTGGATATATATTTCTGTTAAATATCCTAAAACTCTCTGTAGGTAGCCTCTCAGGCTAGATTTGATTGATAACTCTTAGAGGTACCTGCAACACATGTGGTTGAAGCACTCAAAAATTCTACTGAAAATTGGCTGATAAAATATTTGTGTGCGTTTAAGAATGTAACATAGGTGCAGACATTGGCTTTTAAATTTGTATAAACTTGTGAACCAGTCATGTAGCCTTCAGTTTCATTCTAAGTATGAAAGCTGAAACCCTCGAAAATAAGAAGCAAGCTAACTCTCTCATAAAACTTAAGGTATCATTGTTTCTGAGTTAATGTGCCAAGTGCATTTGAATTATTTTCGTACTTTAGAAAATTCTGCTTACTTGTGAGTTTTCTTCTTTTAACTCAGAGGCACTCATTATATCTCCATTCAATAGGTCGATCTTTCAAAGTTCCGTTCATTAGTGAAACTAAACTAAAGCTTCACAACCAAATCGACTCGTGGTTACATCAGATTACCATGTTAAACGAGCCGCTCTACTGGTTCCTATGGTCAATGAATCAAATTAGGATAACGGAACACTGTCCAATATCTTTACATGGGCCACTGAAGACTAATTTATTTCTTTGCGCTTGTATTTCGTTGTCTCTATAGGGCCCAGCTGTTAGGGATTTTCAAATGAATGGTAGTCTAGCCACTCGAGTGCACTAATTCTGGTCCAATATATCCAATATTTTTTCACAAGCTAGTATAAACCATTTGATTTCTTTGCGATCGATTCTCGTCCTTTCGTTACAGTTGCAGGTGTTTCATAGTGTCCAATTAATGGGGGTTTAACCACCTGACTGTACTAATTCTAGTCAGTTGGCAGTTATTTATGAATTTGAATGTCTCATGGTTTGCTTGAGTGCATTTGTCTGGATATCAAAAGCTATCACATTATCAGACGGGGATCAATTAGCTGAAATGTGGAGAACGATAAGAAGAGAATGCTAGTTATCGCTATGAAGACGAATGTTTCAGGACTAAGTAAATAAATAAACAAGGTAATCCAAAATAGTGTGGATGCTTTGACAGGACCAAACTGTGAGGGTGAAGTGGTAAACAGGGATGAAAATAAGCCATATATAATAACTTAGCGATATGAGCTAGTGATAACGATAACAATACTAAACTTTCGAAACATGCATCAAGTACAGCAAGTCGGCGAAGGAGTAGATAGTGAGTGTGAGTTCGCTTTTGTCAAGTCTATTCGTGAAGCTATTCACTGACTGCTCTATGGTTACTTTGAATAGAAAGGTGTCCCACACAGATTTGATTTGAGAAATTTCTGGGGCGATGTTGATGTGCTGGTGCGACGATGCATTAGGGTCACAAGTGATACTTATCATACAGTGAACTTTTGTCATGTAAAATTCTATTTGCTCATAACTCAGTGAGAACGTTTTAAGTGTTGGCGACTTTTAGTGGTGACCGAGTCGAGATCGACTATGATCACCACTTAATACTGATTACTATCCCGTCACCGTAAATGAAAGTGAATCCAGGGTAAAGAATATATTTGAATAAGAAAGAAGGTGATACAGTAAGCAGCAGGTCTCGAATAATGGAAGGAACTTAAAAAGAACATTAGGCGTAAGTTAGTGTCTTTGGTACAGTTAAAATAAACGAGTACAATAATAAATCTTTTCTTTTCATTATTAGCGTTTTCTTCGTAAAAGTGTTTCACTACAGACTCTTAGTGTAAGATTTTCTATTTGGTCTTATCGCCCAATTAGCTATTCGTATCTCCACTAGTTCTATGAGGTTCTTGTTTCTTTTGAAGACACTACGTGTAACAACATTATAAACATTAGGGTGGAATTGTGTGTATGTCTTAAACAGAGTAAGGAACAGATCTGAAATGTTTCCACATAGAGTGCAGAGTTGCAGAAGTGTGTCGCACATAAAAATTTTAAGTTTTTAACAAAAGTGCTAGTTTAAACCTTCTGAGTGGAAAATTACTGCATCAAGAGATAGGATTACGATGCTCTCACGTGTGATTTATTCGGGGATACGAACTAGTACCAAGTGCCACTGAGAAATTTTCATTCTAAAGATCTCCGTACACGTGTTAAAAGACTCACAGCAGAAAATAGGGTTGAACTGCGTCACTTTCTGTTGCGAAACCTCACATGAACGTGCTCAATAAAACTACTTTGTTTCTAGGGCTTGATCCTCAGAATAACGACGAATTAGACAGATATTATTAAACAATAGATGTGTAAGACTGGACTCTTAATACCTAGTATATTGATTACTCTGCTGGTAACTGGCACTGAGCTTGAAAATTTACAGTTCACATATTACCTGAAGAAAAATATCAGTGGATTTATTAACCTGTATCAGTCCCTAAAGTACCTCACTAAACATTAAGTGTAACATTTTTCAGACAGACTAGGAAATCCGAATCCGATTTTTAGCAAATAAACGCCTGTGTGCAATGTTGCACGATTAATAAATTATTTTCTGAAAAAATTTTGAAATTGGTTGTAAGTCAACTGATAACTGATTCCTCTAAATTTTTCTTGTCATTCGGGGCAATAAAATGTAAATTGCATAAAATGTTCACCTATGTCTATTAACTGCTAGCTTATTGCCAGTTTCAACATGTAATATTCATGTGCATTGAAACCGGTGAGGTCAAATTTACACACATTTTTCGTTTTCATCAACGAAAATGGGTCATGACAACAAGCAAAAACATTTGTGTACACAGCTGAAGCCGTTTAATAACACATATAGTCATCGAATTTCGCTACTGTAATAAAACTTTAGTACGCATATGAAAATATAACTTAATATAATCTCTTCCAAACTTCAAGTTTTGCTCGTGCTTTTAATTTCACCAGTGTTAACTGTTACGGGAGAAATGAAGACATTTGGCTGATCAAAATCTTTATATAAATATCATTAATTTCACTGTGTTTTTTATGTATATTTGTTTTACTTAACTAATGAACTCGTTTGATTTATTATTTTCGGCCATTTTGATTTCTATTATTCTTGGTTTGGTCGTTTGGAGTTTCTGCTCCAGGAACCTATAAAACTGAAGGTATTTGTAGTTATTATAATTATTGTTGTTAGAACGAAATTGGTCGACTATTTGTAAATTGACGAACGACATTTTGGTCGATTATTGTGAATTAAGAATAAACTTTGGTACCTAACTTTGGAGTTTGGTTGTGTTGTTAATTTGGGTTCGTGAATCGCAAATAGATCGACATACTGTACTTCAATAACGGGAAGGAGCAAAACTTGGATGTAACAAATGTTCTTCAATTTTATTTTGTTGTCATACACTGGATACGTCTGGACATTTTGGGTCCAAATTTTGTTATTATTGGTCGAATTCGTTTGGATTAATTCACATTTGCTTGGTAACGGATTTTCGAACTATGGCATACAATGGAAACCAGAAGCAAAAAGCCGAAGGAAAATGATGAAATGGATGGTAAAGATTTTAAAGCTGTCTGTGGTATGTCTGATTGTAATGATGATAAACGTGACGATATCAGTGTTAATAGTAAGTCCTCAGTTTAGTACTTCTAGATTGAGGTTAGGTAAGGCATTACTAAAGAAGAAGAATTTGGAAAGGAGACTCCAGTTAGAAAGGCAGCTTAAAATGTGAGATCTTCAAGAGGAGGTTGAAATGGCCGAATTAGAATGTAAGGTCATGGAAAACGATAACCGACTGTCAGTAGACAAATCTGAGATAAATGCTAAGATGGAAAGGTACTTGGATTGTGACATTGCGCGTAATAAGCATTCCGTGGAGGTGTTTAACACTTCAAAATGCGATTGTATTGATGAATTAAAGGATACGTTACGTACTACGGTTAATAAAACGGTTTTGCCTAAGATCGATATGATGTTTTTTGACGGACAAACATGCCAGTACCACCATTTTATTAGTCAGTATACAAGCATAATAGAGAGTAAACTGTCTGACAAGGGCCAGTTGTTGTCATATTTGTCATACTATTGTAAAGGAAAGGCCAGAATGGCTATTGAAGCTTGTATTTCCTTGCCCAGTCACTTGGGTTACGATAGAGCTAAACAATTTTTGTATGATCTATTTGGTAAAGAACATCTTGTCGCTCGTAATCTTATTACTGAATTACTTATCCACAAATCTGTTGAAGAATCCGCCGATGGCCTGACTTCGCAATTAAGCTACGTAATGTATGCATAACATTGAAGGAAATGGGGTATATGTCTGATATGAATTCTATGGCTATTCTGGAAATAATTGTGTCACGTTTACCCCTAGAATTACAGAATAAATGGGTGGAAGCTGCTGATAGGATCATGATGACCGGTAAGGAGCCGATCTTTGAAGAATTAGTGATGTTTGTAGAAGAAAGATCCGATATTGCGCGATCACGTTTTGGTAGATTGGTACATTGTAACTCAAAGTTCCGTAAAAGTAATTATGAAGGCCAAGTTGACAGGAGATCACGCTTTAATGAAGTTAAGCGGGAACCAAGCAACTCATTCAAGGCTTTCAGTTGCAAAATTTGTTTTGGTGATCACAATGAGAAAGATTGTATGAAGTTATCAAAAATGAATGTTACAGAGAGGAGACAGGAAGTGAGGAAGCGTGGTCTATGTTACCTGTGTTTAAGGAAGGGTCACATAGCCAAGTCGTGTAACTCGGACACAAGGTGTGACGTTGATAATTGTAAGATTCGGCATAATCCATTATTACATATTGATGCTACTAACAAACATGTAGTGAATTTTGCTAAGGATTGGAAATTCTCAAAGGTTTGTTTGGGTATCGCTCCGGTTAGACTATATGGCCCCAAAGGATGTCTGGAAACATACGCTTTTCTAGATAATGGTTCAGATACCTCTATTGTATGCGAAGTGTTAGTCAATCAGTTAGGTCTCAAAGGTAAGGAGACCTCAATAAAGGTGACGACTGTGAATGAAACTTCTGCTTGCGAATGTCGGGAAGTAAATTTAGAGGTATTTTCATTAGATGAACGGGGTTCTATAATTATCAACAAGGCCTATACGACCAAGAAACTTCCGATCGATTATGCAGAACCTTTAACCGAACTCCAGCTCAGAAGGTGGAAACATTTGAAGGACATAACCCTACTGAGGTTGCAAAGTAATCTTGTAGGATTATTGATTGGGTGTGATGCTCCAGATGCACATTGAGTCCTTGAACAACGCCTGGGAGACAGGAAGCATCCGTTTGGTGGGCGTACTCATCTTGGTTGGATGATTTTAGGTCCTAAAGGAGTATCGAGGTCTTTACATCAAGTTCAGTGGTGTCATTGTTCTACTAATGATATTTTGCGAGATATGGAGAGATTAAAGAATCATGAGTTCGAGGATGCAGATGGGTTTCGTAATGGATATTCT